ATCCCTCTAAAAAATTTTTTAATTCTATGCCAATGTTTCAGATTTTGTCAGTATGGTTAATGGCATATTCATTTAGAGTAGTCGATGCTGTTGTGAAAAAGCCTCAGAATGCCGATGTAGCTTTGGCTATGTTCTCTAAAATGGCGCAGCCAAGTAATGCCAGTTCTATTTACATTATTTCATTTGCAAACTGCAATAGTTTTCGATATTAAAATAATTGGATTTATTCTATCTTTCGTAAACTACATTTTAACAGATTAAAAAATGTGATATTTCGAACAAAAATTTTTTAAATTAAAAAATTATTAAAATTAAAATTTAAAAAATATTTATTAAAAAATAAATATTTTTTAAATTTTAAACGCTCCTTTCTTATAAATAGCAAGTTTTGAGGTCAGTTTTTAGGTTTCGCTGAATAAACTCTCATTTCGTATCAAAAATTTCTGCATCAAAAATTTCGCGCATCCTGGAAATATTTTAATTCACTGTTATTTGGGATTACGGCCATTTAAAAATTCTGATGGATTTTTGGGGCTCACGATTTTTCTCCCCATAGATGGCTTTCGAACTGAACTATAATTGTATAACTTGTTGCACACCAATATTCCGTTAATTTTCTAGCCCTTGCAATTCTAATCTATAAAACCACTCGAGCTTTACGCTCTAAACACCTTTCGGCTTTATTCAGCTTTTCATGTACTGAACGCTTGAATATATCAAGTACTGATTTGTGCTTGCAGTTGCCTTTTATTGCTGGGATGAGAGCAATTCCGGAAACAGGAGAGTTTTCTGATTTCCTCGAAGTGGTTTTGAATAAATTCTTTCCGAAAATCTTAAAGATTTTGAGAAATTGATAAGCATATAGCCAATGAGAACAATAGATTATTCTAATCAGATTAAGTGATATAATTTTTTTTAACGACGATTAAATCTAAAAACGATTAAATATGCCACTGTTGAATGTTATGGAATCGTTTTGTTATATTTTTTGCTTTCCAACTGCGCTATTGGGCGATCAGTACGTATTCATATCGGCTGTCTCTCCAATTCTAACGTTTCATTGCGAATTTTTTGTGGTACTAATCGTATTTATTAGAATATAGCTTCAAAGCCTATGTAAGAATATTTTTAATGGAAGGGATTTGATTACTTTACAAATCATAACATGCGTGTGATAAACTATAAGACATCTCTTAGTTATCACTTAAACAATCGATTTTAAAATTATAAGTAATTCCTAGGTTTTTGCCTATCTTTTGTATAATTATTGGTCTGAATGTAGTAGACCAGCGGTTAAACCAAAGCCTAAATTCTTTGTGGCAAATTATCTTCTCACTAAATTAAGGACGCATCATGGTTTCGGCTACCAGATTAAAGGTGAAAAAAAGGAGCAAAACGAGGGGATAAAACTAGCTCTGCGCTGATTTACAGTACAATAGAAATTTTCAATTGAAAATAAAGCCAGCGGTTATCCATCTCTGCGATCAAACTCCGTTTCATTTCCTATGCTAAATCAATTGGGGCATTAGTGGAGTGAAAGATGGTGGAGTGGGGAAATGGAAATGGGAAATGGTTGAACTGTACTGAATCGGTGAATTTTTCTAGTTCAATTTCTAGTTTTAGTTTATTCAGAAATAATGATGTAAATTCATTTTTGTTTGTGTTTGATTGTGGTACTTTTCCAGGAAATTTTGAATATTTCGTTACTCATTAATCTTCTTCTTATTCTTCAATATTATATTTTTGTTTTATTATATATTTAATGACTGATGACTTATCACCTTCTTTTTTCTTTTTTTTTTTGGTATTTTGGACTTTTTATAAATATTTCTATAAATATTTAACTATAAATATGGACTATAAATATTTCTTTGGCATAAGCCAGTGGTTTTTTTCCATTCTCCAAAAATCCAAAGAATCCCAGTTGAATATTTTCAAATTTTAAAATTTTACAATATTTATAAATATTTATTTATAAAATATTTATAAAATTTTCTTATCTAAGAATTCTGAATAATAATTATATGAATATAATATAATGAGCTGCATAATTATTAAAAAAAATTATTTTACCGTTCATATTAGAACTTATAAATCCATATAGTCCCATGCACTATCCGAGAGTCCCCATGGACTCCAAGTCACCATTCTGAGAGGCTAATTTGACGACTACTGTTATAGGCTGACAGAGGATCCACATGAATTCGTACTATCATTAGTTAATTTTAATATTATGCGGCAATGCCTTCACCGAAAGTGATCGCTTTATTCGCCGCCGCGTCAAATCTGTGTCAATCACTGGAAAGTCAACGCATTTAGTGGCGCGATTCGCCTTTAGCAATGATTTGTATACTTCGCGTGATTTTCGCGGTGAAAATTATTTTCACCTCATAATTTATTTTATAGCCGAATAAATAATATTTGAATCGAGAATTATTATTTCCCCACAAATAAAACTTCGCTAAAAAATAGCGATATAATAGCGAGAAACGTGAAACGTGAAGGGACGAAGCGTGTCGCTCGGAGAAAATTTTGCTGTTCCTCGCTCGCAATTATTATTAATGATTAATTTTTAGTTTGTTATAATTAATTATTAATCGATTAACAAATTATTGTAAAATTTGCGTGAGAAACAAAATATTTAAAGGAGAGAAGAAAAACTAAAGAAAGCTTTGCTTTTTTACAACAACGCTATGGAAATTTAGTCTGCGAGAATTACGAAACATTTGGCAAATTTCGAATATTACAATTCTTTTTTGCTTCGCGAAATAAATCAGTCAGTTTCACTGATATGATAACAGCCATTTAATCACCATTTTATCAAAAGCAATTCATAAGAGAAACAAAAAAAATGAGAATTAAATTTAATCAGCAAATTTATCAGAATTTATATTATTTGTTGAATTTTATTTAAGTAATTTAATTTAATAATTTAATTTAATAAACTGTAATAATGTAATAATGTAATTTAATAATTTGTTTTTTTGTAAAATTATTCAAAAAATATCTCAATGAACTTTAAATATGTAAGTAAATGATAATAAAACTCCGGAAAAGTCCCTTTTTTATTCAATGAGTGGTTAATTGTGTAAAAATGTTTCGTTAAATTTACCATTCTTCTCACTCTTTCCTTCATCACATATGATAACGAACGTGATAACGAATGATAAGTCCTTTACAGTACTTATGGAGAAGTGATAAATTTGTCCCACAATAAATTAAGAAGCAGATAGTGCGCAAACTCGGACGATCATTAGAACTTTCATTATTTTGCAGCTTCAGTCGGTCAATTCGCGAATTTTATAATTCCAGCAATATTATTATTATTGTGCGGGTTGTTTTAATTTAATTCGGTTTAAATGATGGTGGCGGTGGTGGTGGAAAATTTTCGCGGTGGCTTTTTTATTCTGCAAGGGGAATTTTTTGCTTAAAGAGGGAGAATTCGGTAGCCATGGAAGAGAAAAGTCTAATAGGAATTGCGTAGATTATTCAGGCTTTTTTCTTCATTCGGCATTCTCGTTGGAGAAATCAGAACTTTTCGCTAAAAAATCATTTAGGAATTATAGGATTTGGCTTTGGCCAAGCCTCTGGCCAAGGCATATTCTTGGGCTTAGACGGTTTATATAGGACCATCGGAATAAAGCACGATGGTCTGAGGGATGGTCTGAGTCTAGGCAAGGTTTTTCAGAATTATGGATGGATCCGAGGCACCACGTGTTTATTTCTTTATTGTCGAGGATTAGGCATTGGTTCTGTGGCGCATTCATCTCCATCGAAGTACAATTCGGTCATCCTTTCCCGTTGTCATATTGCAGTCGTGCTAGTCTATCTTAGGTCTTACCATTTAAAAATCTAGATATTTTAATACCGAGCATTCACTGTCGCTGTTTGGATATATCTTCGTATGTTTTAAATTCATATATTGGAGCTGTGGTTCCTAAAGTAGAGAAGTGGCTTCAGCAGATTCCAGAAACAACATTCCGAGATCTTTATACGGAAGAGCGCACTATTAGAAATAGCCAAGGTACTGCGCAGAACGATTGACGATTTCTCACTCTTGGCGATAGAAGTACAGGTCAGTCCCCAGCATCATCCGGATTTTTGTGCAAGTTTACTCTTGAATAGAGAATAGAGCATAAAGAGCTTAGAATCTCAGTATCGGCGCTCCGAATTGAACAGTAATGGGGTTCATGGCAGAAATGGAACTTATCTTTCAGATGGTATATGTTTATATAGGTCCATGTTTTTTAATAAAATAGTATTTTTTCTAAATTATACTTATGTAATTACCAATGCAAACTAATAATTTTCATATATATTTGAACTATTCAAACTATTTATTTATTTTAAATTAATTCATACGATTAATTTTATCATAAAATTCATTTCGTTATAAAATACTTAAGTTACTTAAGTTAGTCATCGATATATTTAGTTAAACACATCGATATACATATTATATTTAAGCCTAAAATGGAACAGTTCCATTTAAGCTAAATTTGTACAAATTTAAGAAAATAAATATATTAAACCAAAAATTAAATGTTTTTTTGAGGGATTGGTAGAGAAATTTTTGTAGAGTGGGTCGGCATTTTGCAATTTTAGGTGTGACAGCATTGTTAATGGATTAATTGTATACATTGGGAATTCGCGATGTATTTTTCGTGCAAAATTTTCACGTATGATGCCTAGTATTGTCAAGCTAAGAGATAAAATGGCTCAGTGAGTTGTTGTTCAATTCAGAGTGCCGATATTGAAATTCTTCACCTATATTTCTATCGCCAAGAGACTCCCTAACATATTTATTCAGTGCGACAAGCCAGCGAGTTTACCCAGTAATGGCGAGGACTCTTAAAAAAAAATTGTAATGAACCCGTTATTTTATTGCACTGATGTTAATCTACTGGTAAGCTACGTATTTTGCGTAAAATATGATGCGAATAATCTAGACTCGATATATTTTTGATAAAGTTGCAATTATTTTATTTAAAATTTTCAGGATGAATGAATTTACAAAGAATCGAGTTCGGGGTTTTCTATTGGATGTTACGGGTGTTCTTTATAATGGTTCAGAGGATGGTTGTGGTACTGTTATACCAGGTTCAGTTGAAGCTGTTGAAAGGTTCCTTGTTTTCATTATTACATTATTGAGCCTTAAAAGATGGAAGGAGGAGAGCTAATAATAAATTAGATGGAAATTCAAAGATTTGAAAAAAATTTTTCAAAAAGCATTGAAAAATATCCAAAATAAATAATAAAAAGTATTCAGGTTTTTTCAGATTGTATCGTGAAAGTATGGTAAGATTTGTCACAAACGAAAGCACATTAGGTCGTGAAGGGCTGGCTGCAAAACTATCCAATCTAGGTTTTAGAATTGACCCAAGTCATTTGATAATACCTTTGGATGTCGCTAAATATTATCTAAGAAAGAATAATCTCAGGCCGCATTTACTTGTGCATAGAAGTAAGTTTTTAAATCATTGCTTTCTTCAGAGGTTTTTACCAAAGAATCATTTTGCAATAGTTCAGTTAAGTCATTTGTCTAACTTGGATTTTTCACTGATAAATTGTATTCCTTTCGAATAAACCTTTCCGCTCGAGTCCATAATATTGGTCTCTCCGACTCGACTCGTCTACAGTCTTACTTATATTTATTTATATTTGAAAATTAATATATCTAAAAAAATGTGAGGTTCAAAGAATTTTTTCTGTTAAATTCCTCTTTTTAAATTCAAATTATGAAGGAATGCAAGAAAATAGTTCTGCTGTTCGCATATAAGGGTTTATTTGAATCATTTCCAGATTTGCGAAATCATCTGGATGATATCGATCAAAATTCTCCAAACTGTGTTTTAGTTGGTTACGCTAGGGATGATTTCACATATGAAGCAATGAATTCAGCATTTCAAATTTTAATGAGCCTTAAAGAGCCATTAATTGTATCGCTTGGATGCGGGTATTTTTATTATGTTTTTCAAATTTTTGCTAATTTTTAAATATTTTTCGACTAATGGTGAATTTGTGAAGGGAATAGTAATATTTGATATTTCTAAAAGGAAATAAGAATTTTTTAAATTTTTTTTCAACATTTAGGAAGTTTTATCGTCGAGCTGAAGGATTTAATCTAGATGTTGGCAGTTTTGTAAAAGCTTTGCAATACGCAACTGATGCTGAAGTTGTAATTATCGGGAAGCCCACAAAAAGTTTTTTTATGTCGGCTGTTGAGGATATGAAACTTCAAACAGATGAAGTTTTTTTTTCAGAGACATAAAAAATGTTTTTATCATTTCTTATATATTAACAGATAATCATACTATCAAATTTTCAAATTGTTTCCAATCTTATATTTACAATTGTAATATGTATTTAGAAATGTATATATTACAAATGTATTTAAAAGTATTTCTGATATGTTTAGGTCGTAATGATCGGTGATGATATTGTAACAGATATTGGTGGTGCTCAAAATGCTGGAATAAAAGGTGTTCAAGTTCAAACGGGAAAATGGAGGTTTTTTCAGTCTATTTAAATTTTGTAACAAACGAGATGTTTCATGATGAGCTTGAAATGATCTTTTTTTTAGATCGGAGTGGATGGATCATAAAATAAAGCCCGATTTAATAGCAAATAATTTAAAAGAAGCTGTTGATATAATTTTATTAAATAACTCCTCATAAGCTTTTGTGCAGTGAACAAGTCAATTCAGTTTTTTTTAAACTATATCAGTCGCTTTTGATGATACTCATAGGGTTGATACTCTTTTAGACGTAAAATAATTTATTCGAATTTCTTCTATTTTTTTTATGGAAATGTTTAATTGTCTTTTCATTCCTGTGGAAAAAAATTTTTTCCAAAATATATTTTATTGTAAAAATTTAAAATTTTTAATTTCTATTGGAACTGTTTTTTTACAATAAGGAAATGTGCAAAAATATTCCATTTTTGGTTTAGTTTATGAAATGGAAAGAAGTAAAAATCACATCGTATGCAAATATTATTTATCAGATTATAATCATAAGAATTTAGCAAAAAACAAAAAATTATCACTTTGCATTCAACAAACTAAAAATTTTATTTTCGATAACTAAAGCACAGGTAGATCATGAATGATTTTTTTTTTTTTTATTGACATAAATTATCAAAATTATTTATTATTTAAAAGAACCATATGGCAAAGAAGACTCTGATGATTGCTAAAAATTATAAATATTATAGAGGTATAGTTTATAAGAAGGCCGATAGTTTAATTCGCCGCTTTTCATTATTGCAAATCTCTGCGTTTGAAATCGTTTAAAATTAATTTTTTTGTCGTTGTACGAGTCGTCTTTAATGCCACTTAACATGGTATATATTTGTACAAATGATACGATTTTTTATCGAAATTTTCTGCTACGTCGAAATTAACGCTAAAGTTAATTTTATCAATTAATTTTATCTCTTCCAAGAAATTACAAAATATCACTTTTTTTTTGCCAATTTAAAATTTTAGTACAAAAATATACATTGGTAGATAATTTTAAAGAAAAATCTCAAAAAAAAATAGCGTAAAAAATGAGATCATCGGTACGAATGAATTGAAAGAGGAACAGTTGTAGAGAGATTCGATTCGAAAAAAATTTTCACACATGGCACAAAACTTTGAATTCGCTAAGGGAATTCAAAGAGAACACAGAATATACTGCCTCATCGAAACAAATCATCCAGGCGAACCGCTTTAGTTTTGGCCTGTTTCATTTGTTTCTATATTAGATTGGAATTAGATCTATCGGAGGGGGGAGGAAGGAGGAAAAATGAGAGCATTCCACTCGTCTATGATGTGCGGTTAACTCTTATTAAATAAATACAATGAAAAGGCGTTAATTATAATTTATGCTTCGCGGAGAAGAGTGGGTCGCCTAGCGGAAAAGTGGGTTTTATGGGTTAAAAAATTCCGAAATTTTCGATTCCGATTCGTTTGAGAATGCGAATATTTAATGCTTGAAAATTATTCGAATAAACCGGGAACCATTCTTGGTCATTATTTATATTATATGAAAAAAAAAAGACTAGAATGAGGAGGAAAGCGATGAAATGTCAGAAAATTGCCCGTTCATTTATGTTGCTGATTCGTTAAGGATAGTGCGAATAGCTTTCAATTGTTCGGAGATTTCATCCTTAAATCGAGTCACCGAAGAATTAATACCAGTCTGTAGTTGAACAATAGTATAAATGCTATTTAATGCCATTTCCAGTTGTTTTTCGAGTCTGCCAACTCTCGTATCCAAGCCGGACAACACCTATAATTTGAATAAATTTTATCTTTTATAAAAAATTTTTAAGTATTTGTAAAAAAATTGGAAAATCATTGGAAGGACAAAAAAAAAAACCTGTTCAACTCGCGTTGCACTTTGAGCTGATCGCATTTCATCAATTTTATTTTTTATTTCTCGAATTTCTTGGTGAATTGGTGGCGTAGTTGATTCGGTATTGCCATTAGTTTGATCGATCATAGGAGCTCCACAATCCGAACCTTTTTCTCCTTGGTCATCTGATGATAATGAACTACCCGGTGGCGGAAACCCATGGTTTAATGTCATATGAACTTGAAGTGATGAACCTAGAAAAATATTTATCACATAATCATATCACAATAACAAATATGATTTTCAGTAAATCTAAAAGTTTACAATGCAAAAAAAAACTATTTCTTCGCAAATTAATATTTATTTATTGGTACTTCTTTTCTAATCGAATGATCGATCGAGTATTTACGCTTAAAGATAATATTCAAATTCAGGCAAATATTAAGTTTATTTATTTATTTTTATTTTTTGAAATTGTAAGAAGAATTTTAAAAAATCCCTCAATTTATTTTATTTCATTCATTTACTATGAATGAAATAGAACTTTATGGTAGATGAGAAATTTTTCTCACCTTTTCTAAAATGTTTTCCACATTCGGTGCACTGTGTCCGACTTATAACCTGGTTGACTAGCTGCGCTGCATGATTGTTCAATATCGTCGAGTTTTTCGCATGTCCACTGGAAGCAATTTGTTCGCTACTCTCGGTAGCAGCGTCATCGCATTCCATTGGACCCTCATTATTGTTATTATTAATACTGCCACTATTTCGTTCACCTTAATTTTTTTCTTTTTTTATATCGCTTCGTAAATAAATTTGATGAATTCGAAACTAAGCAATTTATGCTTGCAATAAGAATGCTTATAAAACAAATCGAAAAAAAAATTTTTATGCCAAAAAATAAATTTCAAAAATTAAAATTATATTATAAATTTTAAGACCGTAGATTTAATGGAAAATGAAATTTGATTTGATTTGTAAATAAGTTTTAGAAAATTTTCGAATCTTTGATCTCATCTCGAGCCATTTCTTACTTAAAACGAGAAAATATCGACCAAATTTTGTTCATAGCAAAGTAATAGCAATGGCTTTTCTTCATAAAACAACGCAGATTAAAGCTAAATATGATAAATTTCCACTATTTATAGCGAATTATACAGCTTAATGCACCTTTAACACCTAAAACCTTTGTATTCTCATTATGTACTTTTTAGATAATTCGTCTCGATTATTATAAGATTTTTTAAATTACGAGATTGCGCCATTAATATTTTGTGGATAAAAAGTTAGGCGTAGACTAAAATTAAGAATAACTGAGATCGATAAAAGAATTGTCCAGAAGATTTCATTGAGCCAAGTTTTAAAAAAAACAGTATATATACTTATTTATCAATGATAAGTGATAAATTTCGAAATTAAAGCAAGTAAATGCCCTAAAGCAATAATAAGAATTTTTTTTAACTATAAACGATCGGATTATTTTTGCTTCTAAAATTTAAATAGCTTTTTAAACTTTAAACTTTGTTATATTTAAAATTGCAATATCAATAGTATTTCCTTGAAAAATTTTGAAATTCATGATGAAATGATTGACTGAATCTAATAAAATTATATATTATCGACGAGAAACGTAGAGAATCTTCGATTAATGGAATTTTTTTGCATAATTTTTTATTATATTTTTTAAAAATTAAAATAATGAGTTAAAAAAAATGTAAAATAAAAAAAAATTTTTGCAAAAATTTTTTAATGAAAATTAGTTTCGTTTATTTAAGTTTCGAATGATGGATGCATTGCATTATTCTAAGTTTTTTACGGTAAAATAACGAGTAAAACTATGAAAATTGGTAGGAAATTGGTATTCGTTCTTAAAAAAAAAAAAAAAAAAAAGAAAATTAGCAAACATATATTTTGACTGTTTGATAAAAAATTATCATAAAAATTTTAATAAAGATATTTAATAAAAAAATTTGATAAAAAAAAGGATCGATGATTTTGGTTGATTGGTTAGCTAAGAGTTGGTTGGTCCCTCGAAATCTTTGTAAATACTCGAATCGTAGTGCTTATAAGACAGAGTTGCTTTCCATACATGATTCTCGAATGTGAAAATATTGATTTCGGATACTGTCTCCCGCTGTCTATTCAACGTTTTCGTTTAATGCCGCTAGCAAATTTGTATCATCGAGTGACAACGACCGCTTTGCTATCCTATCCTATTTTCCCTTTAATACAAGCTGACATCTAAGCACTCAACTCATAACGATAATGACGACGTCACAAGCGGTGCACGATAACTACGACGACGGCAATTACGATGACGATCACGACAACCATAACAATCAGCGATAACGATGAAAACCACATCGCATAGCATTTTTTCTAATTAATTTCTCGTTATTTTCCCTTTTTTTTTAATCTTTTTTTATAAATAAAAAATAAACTCGAAAATTAGATGCTAAAAACATGAAAAATTAATCGTTTTTTTGCAATTTCTAAGAAGAACACCGATTTTTCGAAATAGAAAAAAGTTTCTGGATCAGCGATTTACTCCTAAAACTATCGATCTCGATAAAAGTAAATGCTGGATAAAGTCGGCTGAGATTTTAACGCTCCACTGATCGTCCATCTATTTATTTTAATTAAGTCAGTTCTATTGAAAGTCTTTAATGAATAATTGTTTAATAAATAAAACTGACCGAAAAGTTCGAATTTACTCGTAGTTCTCCATAAGACTAACTGTCTTCTGTGTGATCTTATATTACCCTGGAAAAAAATAGAATTCATCAACGGAAGATCTCGTCATGACTGCTCGAAATTAATTAGCTGTAAGAGAGCGATAGCCGAGTGATAATGGTTCGAGTCACCGTGTAGAGAAGCGAGGATTCGGTTCTTATCTTTGACTTAACAGGAAAATCTGTTACTAAAAAATCAAAATGGTGCTAATAACTATTATCAAATGACTCCAACAAAAATCATGGAATTTTTTCTAGACAAATTAACAAATTCAGCAATGCCGAATCAAAAATGATGACCATTAACCGCTTATTTTCACCACCATTAAGTTATAAAGAAAATTTCCAGCATTTTCACCTTGGAAAATAGTTTTCTTTTGTTGCTTTAAGAATCTCCTTAGATGCGTTAGAATTAAAATTAGTCGAATAAGCCAATTACAAAAATTTTTTTCATGCATATTATTCGATTAATTTATAAAATATTGTCTGCCTTGTTCGCAATTCTCATTATTTTTTTGTAAAATAACGGTCAATGGTTTTGTTTTCAGAATTTCCTTTGAATTAGAACGAATTTCGTCGAAATTTGACTTAATTAGAAGCCAATTTTATAAAATCACGCATATTTCAAATTCATTTTGCTTTTTTACTTAGGTGAATTATTTTCTGGAAAAATTGAATTTCTTTTTCCATGAAAATTAGATGCTGTAAATCAATTGAAAAATTATGAAACAATCTATTAAGATAGCGCATTAATTAGTGCATGGAAAACAGTTATATTAATAATATTTCCCTGAAAATTAGATGCCTATTAGAAAGCTTTTTTGCATGAAACGCATAAATTTTTGCGTAAGATTTTTTCGCATTTAAGTTCATCAAATTACAATTGTTGTTTGTTAAAATTACTGCCGATAATGATTGTCTTCATATTTTTAAAGTCTCACAATGTGAAGGCTTTTTTCGAACGGAAGCCTAGGGCATTTTATTGATTTCGGATACTGTCAACTGCTTTGCTCTGGCTATTCTTACTTGATTGTGTTTACAATTGAAAGCGTTGCTTTGTGCTTGAATATTTTTGAAAAGATAGATGCATTTAAGATGAACGAACAGAATGAATAGTTGATTGGATGAAAAGATATGTATATACATAAAGATGGATAGATAATTGGTCGAATAGATTTATCGTTGTCATGAGGGATAGCTCAAGTTCCAAAAGCAAGAAAAAAACAACCAAAAAGTGCTTTGGTCCAATTTATCAATGGCTGTCATCAACTATCTATTCTATAATCCTGACGAAGCAAAACTGGACACACGGATAAATCTCGATGCGGTGATGCGAACCATTTTCTTAGATAAACCAACACATAAAAATTTGCCTTTTATTAACAACCAACAAACATGTATTTAAGTAAAAGCATATTAGAGAAAAAAGTCACCATTCCCTTAGGAATCTATTTACAATGAAAAACTTGTGAAATAAATAAAGTTATTGAAGGTTTCAAAAAAAACTCCATTACTATAAGGAATGAACGAATGTTAATCATGAAAAATGCGTCACCATCGGTGCTAATTTATTTTAATTATATTTTTATATTGCATCATGCAAGAGTTATCTAACTCGGTCGATATACCTCGACTCGATCGTTTTTCGTTTTTGATATATTTGATTTACTTATCTGATTAACTTTATATTACTTATATTATTACTTAATGCATTTTTTTTCCCTTTTATATTTCCTCATCAAAATCATTCACGTTTTTTAGTTTTTTCGAATAAATCAAGTATGAATCAATTTTTCTATAATATATTCGCCAAGTTATTCTTTATAAAACTCTTTTTTATCAGTAAGCAGAAAATAAAAAATAAGAATGAACAAAATGAAGAATCAAACGAGTTTAATTGGATCAACTAGGTTAGATCTCCTGCTGAAGACTGTTTCGATTGTGGCTCGCAGAGCAAGTATATTAGCCAGTATTCATTATCGAAATCATCTCTCTTGCATTCATTCCAATTGTTCCCATAAAATCTCAACTATATTCGTTATGAGTTTTCGATTTGGTAAGCTTTGCTCGTTGTGCAAATGAGACTTAGCTATAGGAGTAGATGAGTCGGCACCATCTGTCAAATCTTTTAATGATAGGTTTTCTCCCTTCAAAAGTGGAATCCTCTTTCAGTGCGACAATATTTTCTCCATATTCTGACTCACGAATTACTATACCAACTATTTTTCATTATGCAGTTTTGCAAGTCTTCAATTTTTGCAAAAACTTAATGTCGCAAGTTTTTTTAATCCAATAATTTTCTGTATAATTTTTTCGTACAAAATCAAATATTTTATGTAATAAGCAATGAAGATTCTGGCCTATATCAGATCAAACAAGTTTGGCCACGAAATCAGTTGATGATAGAAGTATAAATGGATCGCCAGTTAGCATTCACATTTCTTCTTTTGATAATATTTGATAGTATTAACTTATGATAAGAAAACCAGTGATAATATATTTAAAGACCATAAGGAAAGAATTCAATAAAATTTGCTTATTTTTCCCTTATCCTCATTTATAATATAAAATATAAATATATATGTATATAATACCTAATGTAAATTAGTCAGCTTTCTTCATTCATGCGAGATGAAATCGCTGAAAATCGACGATAAAAAATAATAAAAATTTTCCAGCAAGCATGCATATTTTATTCGACTTTTAACTAGAACAAACCATGCAAGCTACTTGAAATTTTTCAATTTTCCTCTTACTTCTTTGTTCACGATTTCCGTGAACAATAAAACAAATGTTCAAAGTGAAGACGACGAATTACAGTATAAAATAGTACAAAATATCTAAATTTAATCTCTTCATGAAACCTATTTTAAATGCGTTTGATTGTTTTGCCCCTCAATAAATTCGTATAAGTACCATCGTAGTTCAATTCTTACCATCCGACGAGTGCAAATATGTCATCACTGTAATTTCGGGTAGTACTAGAATTTTCACGTATCTCTCTGGCGGTATCATCACAACACCCTAATGCAATCAGCGATACTAATGTTCCTACAAAGCTACAAAAAATTCGTTTCACAAAACAAAATCAAAAATTGTTTCGATATTTTTATATTATTCCATCCCTTGCTTTAATGCTCAATAACTCAAAATCCATATGAAATTCCATCGCAAAAAAACAGCAAACAATAATATAAATGTTGCCTAAAGCAAAAGAAAAGATATTCATTAAATTTCTTGCAGTGAATTCCGTTTTAGCAAATTTTCCTTATTTTTGTAGTTTAATAAAAGTCTCATTTTAAAACAATTGACGGCAAATTTCGTGTATCTTCGATTGTAACAATCGATTATTAAAATAAACATTTAAACGAGATTATAATCCTCCGTAAAGTCCGATATGTATCGGTGTTTTATAGTGTTTAAATGAGAAAAATATATGAAAGTTGATGTTGTTAAGTGAAAAATCCACGAAAAATATGAAACATTACAGTAATATTAAAGGATTTTTCGATAAAATTATTTTCAAAGCTTATAATATTATAAGAAAAACTGTAAGAATGGAATATAATGAAAAATGCAGCAATTTTTCTCGAAAATTTTCATTCACTAAACTACGAGCGAATAGAGAAAAAACCTTCGAAATTTTCGATTTCGAAAATATTCATATATGCCAAATTTAATGTAATTAAGGTGATAGTATTCGGAAGGAAATCGTAAAGGGAAATGAGAAATAATTTGAGATACTACTTTTTTCATTTAACAACAGTTTCTTGCTAAATCTATTAATCTTCGAGAATAGACAGTTGTTTTCTTTTTTAAATCCTTAACAACGATTAACTTTAAAATTTGTATTATGGTAAATAAAGATCGTTTTTTTTACACATTTCTCCTGGAAAAACTAATTTTCCAGTGATCTTTGAAAAATCCTTAAATCGAATCTATCAACAAAGAGAAAGGCGTGATTTGATTTGATAATCGCTATATTAAATTATTTCATTCTATATTACATTGTTAGCTACAATTTTGAAAAAAAAAAAACTACATAAATATATGCGGTCAGATTGGATTATCGTTAAAAAATCAAGTCAGATTATTATTAAGAAAAAATCAAATTAGTCTATCACTTTGAACTGGAAAACAAAGGCTTCAACGGATTTAAGGATTCAAGTAAATTCATGTCAACCGTAACTTTTAAGATTGATTAAAATTTTTGAAAATCATAAAATATCAAAGATTTTAATTTTCTTATATTATAATAAATTTCATGTAAGGCTTTGCTATGAGAAATCCATGGAAAACTAGCGAATCGTCGATTATAAGAATTAGTATATATTTTATTTTTATATATATATTTTAGTGCAAAATTTTGTCTTAAATTACCAAAGAATTAGTTTATAAGTTATGAAAAAGCAATTACAAATTTTCGATTTGATTCGTTCACGTCAGCATGAAATCCCAGTTGGTGGTCTCGAATTACAACAACTACCATAAAAAAATTTCAGACACTATTTTCTATAATAATATGTTTGGTTGTGAGCAAACAATTTTTGAAAATCAATTTCCACACGGCTTAACTTCCTAAAGATCCGTTAAGTACATATACGTACGATTATTCCTTCACTGTTGGCATTCCTATCCAAATGTGAATGATTTTCTGAAATCCTTTTGTACAGCTATAACTCCCATAATAACTTCTAAAAATAAAGCATATTAAAAAATACGCTAAAAACCCATTATGAGAGCCTGTACTACTATATAGCCTGCTGCTTATTTGTTCGCCGTTTCATTTCTCCGTTTCATGGTACTCAAACAGGCAATCTCCAGGGCTGCGTTGTATTATTGATCCTTGTTCCTGCGTTTAAGAAAAAAATATAGCTTAAACTGGAATCTATAAAATTCACAAAAAATTTAGTATTTTGCCAAAATTTTTCATTTTCCTGTCATCACCGAATTGTTTCTTGTTGTATACAGTTAATATGAATTTAGTATGAAATAATTATAATTATAGTAAAAAGGATATGCAAATACCGAGTACTAGCCGAAATCTTTTTCATAAATTAGCCAAAGATAGCCAAGATAGATGGATAGCCAACTTCTTCGAACTTTTTAATGATAATGATGAGATGGAACTATTAGCAATTATTTAGCTTTCAAAGGTTATATTATTATCCAAGTAACGAATTTTATGCATTCGATTTAAGCACAATTCATGTCAATTCAGTGGATATTGGATAAATCTTTAGAACCATTAAAAACCATTTAGAACAGAGAACTAAAACCAAGAGTGTTACAAATACTAAAAAAAACATGGAACTTCATAACATGGAACTATAATTAATCGAAATTTTATTAAAATTTCTTTGAAAACATTGGTAAATTGGTGTTGGTTAAGTGAGATTTAAGTCAAATGTTCGATTATTTTGGTCCTTTAAAGAACCATGGATTATTATCTGCGTTATCATTATTTGTGATAAAGATGAAATGATCGTAATTAATTGGTGCCAATGATCTGTAACGAAAAATCAGATTTCTTCTTTGTTTATATCGTTTTTTTAAGCGAAGAAATCGATGAAAATACTTATAAAATCGGTCATACTGCGAAAAAGCAAAATTATAAGATAACATGCTTTTTTAATTCAGAAAAGTGGCTTTTATCAGAAATTAACATAATTTCAGCCAAAATTTTAGTTTTAGCTTTCTCAACTGAAAATTAATCATTTAATGATGAAATCATTAAATGAAAAAAAAGAAAAATAATCTCTCCAAAATAAATATTCTGGATTCTGGATGAAAAACAAATATTTAAACACTGTTAAGGATATCAGAAAATTGCCTTCAAGTTAAGCAACTGCCGATCGCAATAAAAGTTCAATGAGCACATTGAAGGTTTTAAAAAGAATGCATCAATTATGCATCAAAAACGAAGCAAACGACTGAAAAAAATGATAAGACAATCATTATTACTTGTCCTTTAATTCCTTACAACAGAACTGTAAAACTGTAAGCAAATTCAATATATTCCAGTATAAACAAAATGAGGATTAAATAAGCTGAGCTTTGATTAATCTATCGTGAAGAGCAAAGAAATAGATGAGTTCATTTCGAAATTAACTTAGGATTTACAAGAATAAATTCATAGAAAGCTCGGCGAAAAAAAATGGAACTAACCAATACTGGAATTTTCTTCTTCAGGTGAATTCGACCTGAGATCCATGCTTCCTGAATCGAGCCCGAGTGATAACAGAAAAGACCGATTTTTATCATTTTCTTCGTCCATAATTTCCTGCAAGAAAAAAATTTCTCCATTCGTATACTTTAGAAAAATTAAAACTGTGTTTTTTAATATTTTTTTCGAAATATTTCCTTCTTATCATCATTGTTCTATTGTATTTTATTGCACATATAAACATATAAATATTAATTTAAATAAAAATTACTCAAGATTTACGAAGAAATCCATGAAAACGACCATTTTATCGCAGTGGATAATGGAGGATAAAATTACTATAAATGGATAGATTTGAGTAGATTTTATCCATTTTTGTGATGAACTGTGATAATTAGACGATTTCAATCGTGATAAATGGAAGTTCTGGTAGGCAAAGAAGTTCATCTACGAAAAATTTCATTATCCACTCCCTCCCACTCCTCCTTTATTTTAGTCAGGAAGTTTTTTGAATATAAATATGTTAGTTGGTGATACAATTCGACAAAAATATTCTCTATTCAATGTGATAAGAATATAAGAACATTTAAAGAATATCAATAAAATATATGATAAAATATAATTTTTAATAACATACATCCTTTGGATTAATTATGCTTAGAGGATTTTCGGACGTGCTAGTTGTAAGAACGATCATTGACTTCTCTAAAAAATCCACAGCTGCTGGATCTTTCACAGATTTCTTACCCTAAAATAATTTTTAGTTTTTTAAATACTATTATGAGATAAAATTTCACAATAAGAAAAGTTTTCAAGGTTGATAAAAAAAAAATTTCGAGTTTTAGTGAAAAAATTTTAGAAAAATTGAGCAACTTTTTTGATGATAATATCGTCCTTGCCAATATAAGCATTCTGTTCCTTCTTGTGATGCTTCAGGATATGCTTCGTCAAATTTCCTAAAGTCGCTTGCTATAGCTTGGTCTTTTCTATTTATTAAGTTACGATTTTAATATGGAATTGCTGGAAACATAATAAACAGCAAACAGGTGGGCATATTCGGCCTATTCTACAAGTTTTAGATTTTTCATATTTTTCAAATTGAAAAAATTTTTATCGTCAATCTTTTTTTATTTTATATATATATATATTTTTGCATAACTAAAATTTTCTTTTTTATTTTTACAATTTTTACCGTTGTATTTACTATAGGAAACAAAATAAACATAAAAGATTTTACGAAGATGGAAAAAATAAGAGGAGGGATTTAGTAAAAATTTTGAATGACAGTACAGACCAAGGTCGGTAGAAAGGAAACTTGTATAAGCGGTATGAGAAGCAGTTTAATACATTTCTATTAGAAATTTCCAATATTTCACCAACCACTTCTCGCTCATTTGTCTATTGTACCAGTGGTTATAAAAACCAATATAGCCAAGCGCCAACCTATAGTTATTACCTACATCACCAGAATATGCATTTTACATATTTAGTCTCTTCCACTGAATAAAAGGGCCATCAATGGACTCAAATCAACCGCTAGATCAGTATTCTAGGATCCCTATTCTTAAACAATCTTAAGGAAATGTGAGATAAACTCAATCACATTAAGGAAATTTATAGTATCTGTCGAAATTTAGTTGGAATGCTCGGTACAAAGTAGATTAAAATACTAGTGGCGCATAATTAAGATAGACCAAATTTGGCGTTTTATTGTATAACATTTGGCATCCTGGTTTTTCTGATAAATTTTTATAAGCCTCTCGATTCAAGTCCAATTAATCATTATTCCTGATCTTAACTGAGAGAAATTAATTAATTATTGTTGTCACCACCGCCACATAACAGCAAAAAAAATGTCCATCATTTTTGGTGAGGGTCGCTCTGCTGATTACTGCAAATTTTTAGCCAGAAGACATTTCGCAATTAGGTGGATCGCTATAATTGGGTTTCTTATAATAGGTTTATCACTTTAAGGTCAGCACGCGCTATGAAACAACATAATGATAAAATTTCTATATATTGCTCCGCGAATTTCCAGCCTTGCTGAATTTTTTAATTTTCATTTTTTTGTAATCTTCTAGTTGATAAAATTCATTCATATTTGTTAATCAATTTCTAAATGACTTAATGTCTGATAAAAAAAGAAAATAATAAATAATATCAGCAATATCCACCGCGATCTTATCATCATATTTCATGTTAATAAAATCGAAAAAAAATTAGTTGATCTTCTTTTTCTTATCATTTTTTTGAACAAAAAATTCGATCAGAACAAGTTTTCAAGTCTTAAATTATTTTCAATAAAAATAAAATGAAGCACTGCAAATTCCATTCTAATTTTATCTAAGATTCAACACAATCCTTATTTCTATTTTAATTGGTTTCTTCACTAATTATTTTAATTAGAATTGGTATCGCTAAAGAGGCATTTGGTGATAGAAATAATTCAACCATTTGCCCTATGTAATTACTATTTTATTACTTATTACATTATTAATAAATAATTTAATTTTTTTGCAGATGAATTTCTCCTAGCATAAAAGTCTTTATAGAATATTTTCTCGTTTTTTCGTTCGCTTACTGTTTATTTATCACAAAATATATTTGATTATTTTTAATGTCAACTTTAACTTTAACTTATTTTCGCTGTTAATGTATGGCAGAAGACGAAAAACAAAAAATTCTTTAAGAAAAATCTTATTTAATAATTATTTCATGACGAAATGATTTTATCGCAATAAATCATTCTCATTTTTTATTTATGATTGAAATTTTTATTTTTAATGATAAAGTTGATTTTTTTTGACTTTCAAATGATAAATTTTTAATCTTTAAAATTTTTAAATCTTTCAGATTTCTGTTATCTAAATTTTGCAAAATTTTTTTGCAGATTTACAATGATATTCAATAATAAAATTGGAAAAATTCTTGAAGATAACAGAAATCTGAAAGATTTCATTAAAAATTAAAAATATGTATAAAAATATACAAATGAATATAATATAAATATAACATAAAAATAGCATAAAAAGCTTAACTTATAGAAAAAAAAGCAAGTAAAAACTTCCAATGATATAAAAGTAAAGATAAGTGATCACCATTTTTGATTTATTTCGTCCGATTGGTTTATTTGTATAATTTAATGCAATTATGCTGGCAAATCATTCAGAAATACTAGGCAAGTGCCAGGTTTTTAATGACAAATTAATTCATGGTGAAGGCGAACTGTAATGCTCGAAATGATAATCTAAGCACTGATTACTTGTTTATTTCGTTGCGCCCCGTTGTGTCTTTTGATAAGAAACAACGCAAAAAAAATAATACTGTAAAAGAATGAATTATTGAAATTTGCGAAATACATCTGAAATCAAGAAATTCTTCAGAAATCTTAGTTTTCTGCATTTTATTCCTCACAATTTTGAGCATTTCGAAATTCTTGCAGTGACACGCTTTATCGATTCGATGAATCAAAGGACTTTTTTTTTCCAATTTTTATACAGTTTAACATCCCATTTGGTCAGAATTAAGATCCATAGAAGGTTTAAAACTTTATTTTCAATTTTTTTACTTTAAGTTTATTTGGACAACAGAGGATAACAGAATGGATAGTGAGTGATTCAGATTATTGTACTGAAAGTGCAAGTGCGAATTCTTGCACCTTAGCAAAGTACCAGTGGTGCTAGTAATCCACTTGTGCTTCCATCGTCAAATGACTTACAAAAATTTCTAAACATATTAACATATTAACATTAAGCAGAATGCGCCTAATCAAAATTGATGAGCGTATTTTAAACTTGAGATGGACCCTTAATAGTCATCATAATCCTCTATGGAATAAAAATTTTTAGTGAAAAATTCGATAAATAAGAAATCAAAAAATAGCCTTTAATTTGGCAATCAATAGAGCTAAGACGCTATTGTAAAAATTTATAGAATTAGTAATAGTTGATAATGAATTTTTATAAATTTTCCCTGGCTAAGAAAATGTACATTTCGGTATTTGGTGTGTATGAATGTAAGGCGGAAAACGGTTCATCGATGCTGCAATACAGGTTTCTTGTCCATTTTCCTTTTTCTAATTTGACGATGTATGTTCACTGAATGACCAAATGTATACATAATTGAGCGATCTTCCTTTGTAAACTGGACTTATGCCGTATGTTCATCGTATTTCATCGCTACAGAAACTGTTTCAAGTATGTTGCAAAAATGTATGATGATTGTCAAAATCGTCGAACTAAACCGGATATCGAAAATCACACAAAAATTGAAAAACTGGCCGCCTCTGTATATGAGCTATCCTTTTCTTTATTACAACATGACATTTTAATGTGCTTCTGTCCTTTTGTTTCTTTCCCAATAGCTCATAGTTCCTCTTTAATTTGAAATCCTCAAAGAAAGGTCTGAAACTGACAAATGTATGATCGGACACTTGGTAAGCAAGCGTTTCTAGGGAATTAAAGTTGATTTAACTAGGCATCAATGCAGTTTTTGTCTGTGAAGAGCCGAAAAATTCAGCTTTGGCCTTCCACAATTTACTTATCGCTCGTTGAAAATTTGAGGTTATTAAAGATAATATATACTGAAACATTGAAATAAGCTATTTCATTCGATAAATCATCTTCCGCTGGTAAATTACTAAAATATGCTAAAATTTGGAAACCAAATAATTATTATTAAGTCTAAAAGTACCAAATAAACAAATGGATTCACAATTCTTACCAAGAATGATTAATTTTTTTGAATAAATATTATTTGTTAATTATTAAATTATTATGTAAAATTAATTAAAGAATTATTATTTATTGGGAGACCTATTCAAAGAAGGCATTAATTCTCCGAAGTTGATGGAATTATAAAATAAAGGATTTAGTGGTCCATAAATACCAAATTAAAGAGGCAAAATTTGTAGAATTATAAACAGCTAAACGGCTGGACAAATTTTGGATGAAATTTTGGATATTTCATTTGGAAATAAATTTATCAGCAAAAGATAAAAGATAAAATGGCTGAATTGTTTCAAGTGCTACTTTCCATATTTTTACTTTTTATTTTCTTTTTTGATTGTTCACTGTTAATAAATAAGATAGGCAGTAATTTATGTAAAAGTAGACATAAACCTGTATTTCATTCAAATAATTTATTTATTTATTTAAACTTAATAGAAAACCTTAAAATCTATATATGCCTATGTAAAAATACTTTCGAATATAAAAACCAGCTAAACACTCATTTTTTTGGACCAACTTCATTCACCAATTTTTATTCACCAGCGTGTAGTATTGTAAATTCGGCTGTATTTCTAATCTCGAATGACTCTCTGGAGAAAAAATCCTAATAGTCAGTGGAAGAAACCTAATTTAAAACGGTGAATGAAGTAGAAAAATTTTTCAGCTAGGTGATAATCTGAAAATAAATTCTTTAAAAAATTCCATTCCAAAATTCAAAAAATTTATAATCTATTTTAAAAATTCATTATATATTATTTTTCGCATTTGTTACTAAAATTTAACAATTACTACAAAATCACAATTGAAATGAATTTGGGAAAAAGCAGTTTTATAAGCAACTGCTTACACCAAGAACTGTTGCCTTGTAATTGTGTTGGAAAATTTTCGAGGGTCCGATTTTACAACAGAAAGCTTAAATTTATGTTGGTGATGGAAAGCTTAAAATTAAAATCGTAAGAACACAGAACTAACTATCACTGAGAAAGGCTGACTTGATGTATTTTGTGTGTAATATTTTAGATATTAGATACAAGCTTAAACTCATCGTAGAATAACGATATTTTTTTCAGGAATTCGGGCAGATGGAAGAAATGAAGAAAATTAGAATAGAATTCCAACTTTATCCAAATTTGCTACAAGCAGAAAAAATGAATGTATAATTTATAAATTTATAGAAAAAAATATTCATCTTGGAATTCGAAAAAAATTAATTTTTTCTAATAAAAAAGTATTCCATTAAAAAAAGGCTAAAAATGTGAATTTTTTGATGATAAACAAATATTTCTTCATTTTTCTGTATAGAACTGTATAAAATATTATTTTTTAAAGATTTCTTGAAATTTTCTCAAAAATTTAATTTTTAAATTTTTACTCAAATACTTTTTTTGATAAAAAAGGACTCTTCGTTAGAACTTTTAAAGGATAAAAGATAACTCTTTTCAAAATAATAAAAACCAACAGTGATAGTAATTGTAAAAAATAAAAATAATAAATGAGTTGCACAGATTCAATAAATTTTCTTAAGAACAGTTTAATTTAACTGCATATGGCAATAATTAATGACAAAATTATGATTAATAATAGCAGAGAATAAACTTGAAATAAAAATAAGAAATTTCTTAAAATTAAGAAAGAACTGAGAGAAAAAAGTGACAAACCTTTAAGCCTTGAAGATTTTCCGCAAAATTTACAAACATATGGCTTGAGAGCGGTATGAACTGAGCGATGTTCGGCAAGATTTGAGCGGAAGCGGAACGCTTTAGCGCATATTTCACAAATAAATGCTTTATCAGTATGAAACATATGCTGATGTTGTTGTAATAGTTTTTGACTGGGGAACGATTTGGGGCACAGATTACAGTTATTATTATCTTTATCTAAAGATGATGTTGATGAGGGGAGAATAGATGAAGAGGCGGTACTCGCCTTATTCCCGCCTTCGAGATAAGTTGTTGTTGTTGTTGTTCGTATGGCAGCTGTTGTGGAACTCATGATTTTTGCTGCTACTGGTAATGATAGTGGTGATAATGACGGTGATTATGCCACTGACACTATATGCACAATTAATGGCGGATGGCAACTATAGCCGAGAAAATAAATGACTACAAATATAATAGTGCAAAAAAAGATAATAATAAAAAATGCAAAAAAAAAAGAAAATTTTGTTTCTTTTAGAGAAGATTTTTTATTTTCAGTTCGATTTCAATTTATCAACGCGGAATTCATTTGAAATATTTTGAAAAGAATAATCGAAACGAATGGTATAGGAAAATTGGCACATAAGATTAGCACCAACAATGGTGCATTGCTTTGGCTGTTTGGTTGGTACCAACAAGGCTGACACTACTTTATAAAGCTTTAGAATTCCCGATAAAACTCCTGTCGAGATCTCGCACGCGTTTTATGTGCTCCACCCATTTTTCTTTGCTGTTATTGCTGCTGTTGCTGCTGCTGCTGCTTAGCCTCCGGGATCGATACAATAATACAGCTGAAGTGCCAGAAATTTAACGAAAGCCTTTTCTACTAAATAAAATAGAATTTTTGCTAGCTTTCCCAATTTTTACAGTGTCAATATTACAACTAGGCTTCACAGCTGACACACAGATATACACACAACTCACACACGCATATAGATACACATAACCAAGTTATAGATGAAATCTCGCTTGTACACTGCTAATCGAGCCTATTCGAACGGTAGTAATTGTAGAGCGACGTTGATGGCGATAATATTGGCCGCGAGGACCGTTGCAAAAACGACTTTCGTTTATGTCGCATACGATTTGCCTTTTGAAATTGCCTCGAATTATGGAATCCATTTAGTGGAAACGAGGAAATTCACGAAAAATGGTATGTGTACAATGAATCAAGGATAGTACAGTTTTCTCTTTCTTCACCTTACCATAACATTATAGAATTGGAAATTTCAATCCAAGTGTTTTCATATAATTGCTCATTGATTGTGAGATAGGATAGCCGAGTGGTTATGATTATGAATTTAGAATAGCATGAAAGATAAGCTCCTCGGATAGGAATTCTACAGGTGGAGAATTCTGAAGCTGACGATTCATCTGCGCTTCTACTCGCCAACTTTTTGGCAAAAATCTTTATCTGCGATTTTTCTTAGCATTTCTAAGCATAGCAGCCAATGGCGTTAGTCTAGGCTAGAAAAAATGAGCCTTAATCTATTTTATTTTGGTAATCGTTTTAATTAATAAATAAATTCTTATTGGAAAAAAGAGGCATTTTGTTTTAAAATGTTCGCAATGCTTCTATGTAGAAAATCCGTAAAATTTTATTTCTTCGCAATTCAGCTAGCATAATTTACTACTTTTCAAGGGTTTCAATTAATAATTATCATTTTCAACTATTAACGTGAAAAAAGTCGGAATAAATATAAATCGAATTATTTTCAGCTTTTAAAAAATTTTGCTAATCTTTTTTGAATAAATCATTTCCAATTATATATGATAATCTAAATTGCCTTTCATCAATTTTTTCATTTCTGGTATTTTTGAACATTGGAACCAAATCGCTGGGTAATCATGTGGAGACAGGTGGATTGCAAGCATCATTCAGATTTCATTTTCAATGGCTGATTTGTGCCCGACGAGAAGGCAACTGAACTATATTACTTCTATTAAGAATAAACTAGCATATCAGGTCGACCATCTCTCAGAAATTTATCATCGTAGGATAGTACTGGAACTCCGATATTTTATCAGTGCGATCAAAAGATGTTCCATAAAATAGTATTTAGTAAAGGTAGAATAAGAGTGTAACGTAGATCGCTTATATGCAATTGTGATACTATCGAGCAATACAGCAATACACTAATGCAATATGATAACGATTTTTTCCGGTAATAATTCTCGGGACTTATAGGCTTCGTTAGCGCAGACTCTGATATTAGTGCAAAGGAAATGAGTGCTTCAGTGGTTATTAATTTTCGATTAATTGAAGTATAATTGACACCTGATTGCTGCAAAAGTTCCAATGATATATACAGCAGTGATCAGTGATAATGTTCTTGTGTCTGCTTTAAATAAGATGTAGCGACGCGCTATTATCAGTTCTACTAAGAAATTATGTAAAATGGATAAGAGAACTCGGATTTTAATTCAATGCAATAGACAAGCGATGGATAGACAAGTAATGTAGCAGATGGTCGTCTAACCGATTTGATTTTGAGTTTAAACAATGTTTAGCAAACAGCTCAAGGGATTCGGCTGTCGACTACCATTATGCAATCGATTTTTGCGAATGTGATGGTGACTAGCACAAGACATGCCTTGTGGCGAAATGACAAAATATACATGCAAATGTACTATATATGAGGATTAGAGCAATTGGCTCGCAGTATCTTAAATTTCTGCGATTTGTTGCCAAAGCAATTAACTTTTCCTATATTTCTGCAATTTTGTTGGCAAAGCAATTAACTTTCTCTAATCCATATATGCCCATTATGTTTATTTTTTTGCATTTATTCTCTTACAGCTTGCATATTCATTAGTTTTTCAAATAAAGTCTTGAATATATGAAAAGAAGCTTTTTAGACTATATTTTTCATAAAAATCGTTGTCGTTTCATGATCCAAAATTGCGATTTGCTTGAGCATATCCTATGATAGAAAATTAGAAAATTGATGCAAGCATGGTGCACTTGTACCTCTCTGTCTCTAAAAGGTTCTCTGATGGTACCTTATCCTAATAGCCAGTAAAGCAAATCTAAACAGAAATGGTGAGCATGCCATGCAAATGTTATTCTGAACTTGTGAAATGTGTCGCTTATTTTCTGAGGTTATTGCACCTCACTTTTCGCTTGATTATTTATTTAAGCCTAGCTTCTTAATTATTTATAAATCTAAAATCAAAAAATGTAATGCAGCTAAAACCAGCGGGATGAATAGAAATCATGCAGATATCCAGAAAAAACAGGATTCATCCGGAAACTTGAAAAAAGAAGCATCAAAATATACGAATGAAACAAAATTCACTTTACATATACTACATATACAAAGCAAAACACAGGAGGAAATGAAAAACAGACATAAGATCGATAAAATTTAATAAAACTCTCGTCGAAATCAGAAAATTGATTCAACTGTCGTCGTTATCTTTAATTTTGTGCATAAGTGGATACATAGTAAATCCACTTTGTAAGTACCACAAAAGCTTCTTTGTAGAACAATGATTACAATTTTCTTCTTGAAACCACAAAGTACCAGTGTCCATTGGTTAGAGTGGTGGTGTTGATTTTCGACAAAATTTTTTCATTTCTCGTCCCCTCAGAGCCTTTTTTTATTTTATCAGCAATTTTTTATCGGAGTTTGAGTGATCATTAGTGAGCATTCGGAAGACATTTTAAGGGCAAGTGATGAGAGTAAATGAAACTATAATTACAGACATAAAATTATTCTTTTTTCCAAATTTAAACATCTTCCGAGCGCATTCGCCATTCCTGGCTTTGCTGGCTGAACTGTTAGAGGCCGCTTCGTTAAAGATTTGGTCCTTAGCATTTCTCAGATTTCATTTTGATGATAGTTTTAGACAAGCGATGTGTCAAGTGATCATACGAATCGAACCTGCGACGGCTTAACTTGAATCGATACAATACACTACTTAACTATGAACTGAAATACTTGAACTACAAATATATACGATTCTCAGTGGAACTTTTTTCGCTTACCTTATATGCATAGCTGGGAACTTTTAAAAAAAATATTAATGTCCATGAAATGTTTTTACAAACTTGAAAAATTGCTGCCTGGCCAACCTTTTTAGCTCTAAGTTATGGTAGCTCGATGAACGTAATTTTTCTTATTACAATATTTTTTTGCTTTATATATATTTAATCAATCAATCGAATTTCGTCGTAAATTTTTTTTCATAAATTTAAAATAAATTATCTAATTAATTAATTGTGACAATTTTTTGTTACTTATTAAAAATTTTTTGTACAAAAATACCTCTTTCATTTTAAATGAGAAATATAATTATAATATGGCTGTTTGTGCGGCATAGAACATCAGTCGTTCAGCTCCTACTTCTTGTGCGTGCTATGGATCCGCCACTAAAAACTCCGAATGGTACTAGTATATGGTGCTAGTGATGGTATGCGCGAAAGACTCTTTGCGTGAATTTTCTTATCCTAAGGCCATATAATTATCCAAATCGCCAGCAGAGCGTGCTTAACTAAAAAAAGCTGAAGAAGCAGAAAAAGGAAAGAAATTAATCAACCGATTATTATTTTTGTTGACAGTTTATTTAGCATATTGTGCATTTCCGCTATTCTATTAATTAATTTCATTCTATTTGCATTTTGCCAAGCAATTAATATTTAAGTGATAGAAATCCATGGTTTTACATTGAACCTTATTTATGTTTAAAGTCATCATAATTTGTTTGCAATTTAATTTAACAAAATTCTCATTTCTCAAACGAGCAAAATTGTGCAATCAATCTGCTTGCCTCGATAAATTATCATTGTTATGCGCAGCTGTTCAAATGCAACCTCCATGGGGATCAAGCGAAGAGTTCTTTTCATGGGGACATGAAAATCGGTGAATCAAGCTAAAAATCCATTCACCATGTGCGATAATTATCCAATCCAATGTTTTTAAGAGTTTTTAAGATCGACAGTGCCATGAAAATTAAATTTCAAGGGCTTTAAAATGAAACTCTCCATAAACTCGACTATAATAATATGATAATAAAATGCTATAACTCGACTATACACTCGCCGCCACACTTCACTGCTTCATTGCTAGAATGGTAGAATTCAAGCATGGCGATAATTTTTATCTGATATTCTGCAATTTTCTTTTTTCAAATTTTAAAAAGTTTATTTAAAAATAAATGCTTTTTTTTAAGCCTACAATAATGCTAATTATAAGCAAACTCTTCTATTTTTGAGAAATTTCCAGTCTCATAAAGCGAAATATATGCTTACCGCGGAAAAAAAATTCATAAAATTTTTAAAACAAAAAGAAACTAGTTTGTGGCGAGATTTTCCTCGAAAAATTTCTATTTCTACAAATTCCAATGAGATTTTGAGAATGTCTATTAATTTTTCATGAAAAAAAACATAAGCAATTTCTACGAAAGGCAATTTTGACTTGAAGCGATAAATATATAAATACGAATATAAATAAGCGATAAATATGCGATAAATATAAAATATACAAATCCAAAATCTTAATAGAATTTTATAGGTAATATAGAAATATCGCATATTATAAAAAAAGGAAAAATTTTACATAACCGAGCCAAATAAATGAAATTATTAGAGTTGAAATTTAAAAATTTGTACCATATTCTTTCCAAAAAGCAAAAAAGTTAAATTTTAAGATATGTGAAAAAATTTAATTGTCGTCGCTTTTTGTTAGAAAATTAAAGAAAAATTTTACCTATTTAGCTAGCAACTAAAATTGTCGATTGTAATTTTGGCTAAAACTTCTTTTTAGGCAAAAAATATTGCACTTTTATTTATTCATAATTTGAGAATCTCTTCAAGCTATTTTTCAGATTTTTTTTTAGTTTTGATTTGCATCCTTATTGCTTACGCATTTTTGCAACTTATTAAAGGGTAGTTTAAAATGCAAAAAAAAATCTCAATGAAACTGAGCGTATTTTGCCATCGAAACTCCGATGTAGATCTGTGATTCGAGCCAACTTCTACTGCGATCTTGGAGTAGAATCGGCCAAAATAACAATTTCATCTATCTGAGGTGATCGTTTTGTTGTTACTCTTGATTGGTTGTGGTAAACTCGTCTATCGCGTGAAGTTTCTATATATTTTTTACGCCATAAATTCCAAAAATGTGTGATTATTCTAGCATCTTTCGTCCAATTTTCAATAATTTGATCTCTCGTGTCTTTACTTTCTGTTGCATATTTCTTGTTTAGGTTGTATTCTTCTATGATCCATGGGGAATTTGTTGCATAAGTAAGTCACGTGGAGGAACAAAATCAAGATTTTTTCTCGTTATGTAGTAAATTGGCCGCTCGTTTACTACAGCTGTGATCTCATACAAAAGGGTTCTGAATCGATCTCGGTCTATGATTTTATTTGCTACTATTACTCTTAATGTCCTTTTCATAATTCCAGTTAAACGTCCGTAAATTCCACCAGCCCATTGGGTTGTATTTGGTTGATTTTATCATTTGCTATATCAGCTTGTATCCTGCGTATTGTCTCCTTAAAGTATAAAGTTTTTTGTATTATCTGATAGCAACGATTTCGATTTCTTAGCGATAGTAAAAAACTTTCTGCTTTCAAGTCGTCGACGAGTTCCAAGTGAATCGCCCATGTGGCAAGGTGAGTAAATAAAGTTCAATTTTTTTCTTGTAATCATCTTGTTTTATCCAAATAGAGCCCCCAATTTCTCAATATCTGCCAATGCTAAGTTTTTGGCACCATTATAAGCCAATATAGCCACTGGCCCTGTAGGCCCTAATTCCGTAATGTCGGATCCCATTCGGGATAACAAGACAAAAAAAAATTTGAATTATGCCGTGAATGAATATCAAGAAAGGAAAGTACTTAGAAGTTTCTAGCCCATCTATAATAAATCTTAGTAGACCCATTGGCCAAGTACTTCACCATCGAGAGGGATTCGAATGCAGCCAACCGCAGGAGGAGCTGTTAAAATCTGAAAGTCCTAGCAAGTCATTTGCTTTCCTCATCAAGTGACTTTCAACGACAAAATTTCGCAAGCATAGTTTACTAGAAGTGGTGAGCGTTAAATTAAAAATCTGAACAATAACCACTTATGTCCTCGGTCGTTACGATAACTTTCAAACTTTCAATTGTTAATTTGCCATTTTTTAAGAAATTCTGAAAAATTTTTATGTTTTCTTGCAAGTTTTGCTAACATTTTTAGAAATTTAACTTAAATTTGAATTCTCCAATCCAGCAAGCGATTTAGATTATTAAAGAATTTCCTAAAGTTAAACTTTGGATGAAAATTAAATTGAGCGAACATTTAAATGCAACTGAAATAGATTATAGGATTTTTTTCAACTCATTTGGTCTTGGAAATTCAAGGAAAATTGACAAAACTGTAATTTGAAATATGGAGCAACTATCATTACTTGCATGAAATCGTTTTTAAAAGTCGTTATAGAGGATTTCTCCTTAACTGTAGAAACAAAACATGTTGTAGTATAATTCTGTATTTACAGTCGAATAAAAATTTAAAAAGATTTGAACCTCTTAAAAATGGCTCAATGGGTTGCTGTTCAATTAGGAAGGCCGATGCTCGATTCCCCGCAGGAGTAAACCTGGATAAAAATCCAGGTGATGCTGGCGACTTACTTGTATTTCTATCGCCAAGGGATTCCTTGGTACATTTTGCACAATGCGACAAGCCAGAAGAGCGAGTTTAACCAGTAATAGGGAGGAAAAAAACCTTAAAAAAGACCTTCTTAAAAATCTTATTAAAAAAAAAAACTTTTTGAAAAGTCTTATATCGCAGAATTATTTTTATTCTTATTTTTTTATTCCTCTCTTATCTGTAAAAAAGAATTACCGAAGCAATAGTTCAAATATAATATTAATTTGGTTTCTCCAACTATGGTAACAAAAATTTCCGATTGTAACTATTTTTTATTTTAGGCACTACATATTGCATTTATAGCGAAAAACAGCAATTCAATAATTCAGCTATTAGCTATTAGAAAATTAACTGAAATTATTAATTTTCCAGCTAATTTTAAAGACGAATATGCCGATATTCTCGGGAAAAACTGTTCTACCAATCGCACTTTAAAATGTTTGAATACAAAAATTGTAAAATTATTTATGAAGAGAAACTTTTATGTGCCCACTTTCCTCGTTCTCCATTCGATATTCTCCAATCGTTTATGAGAAAATTTCCTTATTTTAAATTAAAATTCTTTTTTGATATTTTTCTTTTTTCTAAAATAAAATTAAACTAAATTCGTGTCTAATGAATTTAAATTTCATTGAAATTATCATTTTAATTTTTTTTTGGTAAATTAAGAAATTTTTTTGATTTTGCCTAATTTTTTGTTTTATTTTATTTAATTTATAATAGTCGCATTGATTTTAATTTCTATTATTTCGATTTTATGCGTTAAATATAATTCGCATCTTATAATTTCCCATTTATATTCCCAGAAGCAATTTTTAGCAAATTTTAGAGCAGAGAGTGATTGAAAAAATCCGCCGAAAATATGAAAAGATTCAACTTGGTAAAATGAGTAAACGAAAAAGCCAATCATTAAAACAATTAGTTTCCTTTTGTAAGCAAGCAAATTCTTAATGATAGCTTACTGCTCGCTCAATTATATTATTACCAAGATACAGTCAACTGTACCATGCGCTACCGCCCAATTTATTTAATTCGTATTGAGGAGCAGTGCTTGGTATTGAAAATTTTTGCTAGGATATGCATATATATATTTCCGTGCTAAATATTGGATCTAATTAATTCAATCTTGAGATAATTTGCATATTTAGCCATATGGAAAAATTATCGCAAAAAACAGCTTAATAATTCGTGTTTTATGAAAAAATTTTCTATTATCAACCAATCTTTGCAATTACCGACTGTTAGAAAAATTATCGCAAAAAACAGCTTAATAATTCGTGTTTTATGAAAAAATTTTCTATTATCAACCAATCTTTGCAATTACCGACTGTTAGCATAAAATTTCTGCATCAGAAAATTAATTAAGAGGGCAGAGATGGAACCATCGGATTTCCCTTTTAACAATAGGCTTATTCCCATCGAGCGTATAATGGGCTGAGAATTAAAGCAGCGAATCTGTTTCTCTATTAAAAAAACTACAAAAATTTGCGCAAAACATTATGAAGAAATCTTTTTTAAAATAATTCTTCAGAAAAAATAATGGATTAAAATGATAAATTTTTAAAATTTTAAATCATATCAAATGATAATAAAATGTCAGTTATTATCAGTTATTAAAACTTACGAAAATATTTGCTACATATGGGAAAGAAAAATTTCTTGAAAAAAATTTGCATTGGCCTTATCAGCTAAAAATCAATGCAAATTATGACGCTTTTTCCTTGATTCTTTGAGATATCATTTTGCCATAATTGTTTTACAATCAGCCTCAAATTCATAATAATTTAAACATCAACTGCTTAATAATTTAAACAGGTGCAAAAAATGTTTGTTGCCAAGGTGATACCTTTGGACAAAACCAATTTTATATCTCCAGGAATTTTTTTTCGTGGTAAATTTTGCGAATTACAAACTTAATAAATTTAATATAAATCATCAAAAATTGTTAAAGTATTTAGATTTATCGAAATTATAATTTTGCAAAAACAGGCTGTTTGATTTGATTTCATTTGCCCGTTTTCGATTTAGGCAACATCAAAACCAAGCGGTACTTCGCCATAATTGCTGCATTTTCGAAAATAAAAGTTTAATTTGCTAAACTATAGAACGCCAAAGAAAATAAATAAATCAAGCTAGTATGCTTTGACTGATTGATAGTTTATCGCTTGTTGCATTATTTGCTTGTAGTTGTGTTACATTTAAGTTGAAGTCCAGCGTTTTTAAAACATTCGCATGACTCTTGGAGGCGTTTCGTTGGTCCCAAATCCAGATTCTTTTGACAAGTTTTTATGACATTCATCGCGCCTTGATCAAGCGGCTTAAGTGCACAACTACAATAAATCTTATCATTTGTTATCATTTGTCATTTGTTATTTATGAAAGGAAGAATTAGATAAAAAATAAAATAACTCTTGGAGAGGTGAAAATTACCAAAAAGTGGAATCAATAAAAAATCAAATTATAAAAAGCATTCCAAGGAATAAAATATGATAGATTCTAATTCACCATAAAATAAATAAAAATTTATGGAAAAAAGCAAACAAAAAAAACTTCTTTCTTTATTTTTACCCATTTTATTTATTTACTTGCTCTTTATTGTCAATTTACCATTTCTGGTTTCTGATTGCATTCACTACCAATTGAGAACCCTTCGCCAGAAAATCATTCGAGGTAGGGGAGGGGTGGGGGGGGGGCGTTAAATGTGGTTCCTCTGCGTCATCGCATAAAATTGAAATAATTTAAATGGAAAAAATAATCCATTTCCAGACTTTATTTAAAATAGTTCACTTTTTGCATTCTTTTCATTTACTGGAAGAAATAATGGTTTCGATTTGATAGTAATCTGAGGATTAAATAATCATAAACAAAAACTGATCCTTTGCAAATCTTTCTTACATTAAATGAAATGTAAATTTCAAATATGCTTCATTAATCAAATCTTCAAATTTTATTTCCCCTAAAATGAACCATTTTATTATTATTTTTTTTCTCTTTTTTAATCCGATTTTTTATGGTACTTTTAATTTTGCAAAAATTAAAAAGCTAACTTTAATTTCATCGCGCAAACAACATCCAAACTTCGTCGAGCTCTCGTATTCTTCAACATTATTTCATTCATAATGCAATGATCCAGGCACATTAGATAAGCAGCGAGTACGAAAAATTGATCCTTGGATTCCATTTGTACCTGAATAAATTAATTTGCAACCTTTTTTTCTAATTATTCTATAAAATTAAATTACTATATATAAAATAAATAAATGTATAATATGAAATAAATAAGAAGGAAATGAAATAAGAAGGAAATTTTTTGGATATTTCTCGTGATTTTTCCAGTAACAATTGTGAAATTTTTTAAAATCTATCATTTACCACAACCATACAAAAGGTTTATTACAGAAAACTTTTGCGAACAGTTTGCGAGAATTTTTTTGCTCTAATAACTAAAAAATCTAATCATAATTAAGTGCAATTTTTTTCATAAATCCCATCATAAATTTTATATTTATCCAGAAACACCAATCAACGGATGGCCTACCAAAGCCACGCTTTATCCTGAAACATCAACCAAGGGATAGACTGTTAAAGCCGTATTTTATCCAGGAAAAATAACCAAATAATGGACTATCATGTATTTGTAAAGAAAGAATGAATAAATAAATAAATATAAATAAAATGAAAGAAAACAATGTAGTTAATAGCGATGAAATATTTCAAATGAATAGTGCTTAATAAATTTGCAGATAAATTTTATTTAATTTAAAGTTAACTAAATGTTAGAAGCTATATTACTCGGTAATTTATTCCAAAAATCGACATTAAAATAAAAAAATTAAATTAAGGAAAAAAAAATAAGGAAAAATTAAGTGAACTCATTCATGTTGTATTTAAGCTTTACATTTCATTCTCTTATTGCATCTTTAATTTTATAGTTATTTTCTTTGGTTTATTAATATCATAGAAGAAATAATTATTTGGGTCCACTAGAAAATCCGAGCGATTTAGAAAAATGAAAATACTAACGTTTGATGTTAATCCTCCGCTGAAGATATTCTGCGAGTCGAATTCCTCTCCAAACGATAGTGGACTGATCGTTATATTGGGTGGTTGATTAGCATTCGTACAACTGAAAAAAATTTGCAGATGAAATATGCATTTACTGTTATTAAAATAAGTACGAATAAGTACTACGAGACTTATAAAAAAAACTTGTAATTTCGGTTAGATTTCTTATCATAAAAAAATTTTGGATGACTGATGATTGGAGTCAAAAAACAATAATTATAGCTTTTAAAACTGAATAAGTATTCATTTAATAATCTCTAATTATTTCACTAAAAAAAAAGATGCTTGAAAGTTTTATATCAGTCATAATTTGGATGTAAGGGACCACAAATATACGAACCCAGCTACGCCGAGATTTTTTTTGATACACTGGTCTAAGCGTTCAGCGGCCATATGATCCGCATGTAAGCAACTATGGATCTTTTTTGAATCTCCAACTTTTTTAAGGATTGATTCGCAGTAAGAGCTGCAAACAGAAACCAAATGGTAATATGCGAATGAAAATAAAATAAAATAAAAATGGATAAAAGAATTGCGATACAGAATTGTAAAAAAGTAGAGACAAGATTGCAATAAATTATGTGGCCGTCTCTTCTCATTTTTACATAACTTTTAGGATCGTCCATAATCATTTCTTTTTCTCCTTTTAACAGTTCATGCACTACATGCACTCCTGTCGGTCATATTCATGATCAATAAAAGCATTAAATTTAAAATAAAGAAAATCCGACTCCTGAGCACATGTAACAAATCGTTGCTCCAACATTGTATTGCAATCTTCAATATCCGAACATTTGCACTGAGGTAAAATAATGGGATAATTGAACACAGATTGTTCCGCTTTCACCTGAAATTAATGCAAAACAATTAGTTTTCATTTGGTTAATTAGTCCAGAATAAATTTTCTCTTAAATTTATAACAATATATAATAAAAACTTTTTTCATAAAAAATTATTCATTTTCAGAATAAAATATTAATTCCATGTGTTTCGATTTTTGCCGTTTCGCTGAAGCAAATAAATGTCTTCAATGAAGCGATTTCATTCTGGTGATCGAAGGAACCCGGTGAAACCAGAAATAATAGGTGATGTTAGAAGAAGATCGTTGCATCATTTGATTTGAAAACGTAACACTTAAAGTGATAAGAGGTTGCTTTGGTATATCGTTATCAGTTTGAATTCCTAAGCAGCCGTAATTTATCACTACGAATTCATTCACAATTGATAATTAATTGATAAAACTAAGTCGAATGTTCTAATGGTGTAAATAAAAATGAATTGCTTCGGTTGAATTCGAAGTAAAATCGTTTTTTTCTAACAGCACTCACCATTTTTTCTTTGGTTAGCTCCATCTTTTAACGGAAAATCGTTTTTGAACAGAAATGCCGATGAATTCTGAGCATTTTCGATGCCAATCGGAACAAACATGTCGACGTAAATTATTATTAAATATTAATTAATGAATGAAAAATTGAAAAAAAAGCTAACCATGACACGGAATATCAAAGCGATTAACCAAATCAAAAACATGATTAACCTAACCACGATGAACGAACACTAAGCGATAACTGCCGGAATATTTCTTTATATACTTTGCATAACTTTAGTCCAAAAATATAACGCTAAACGCAAATGCCTGCGATAGCCTTTGTCAATATCCAAAGAGAATTAAGTTGACAGGAGAAAGATGATTTCTGAGGTTGAGCAAATATTTTGCTTATTTTTCAGTTCAGAATGGAAAGTTTTTTGATGAAAAAAGAATGAAATGAAATGCTCATTCATATAGAGGAAAGGAAATAATAAAAATAAAAGAAAAAAAAAGTAAATAAAATATTTTTTATAGATATTACTCAATAAGTGGATGGAAAATTCTCATGCAACTATTATTGTAAAAACTATAAAAGATTCTTTTTTTAAAAAAAGTTTTTTCAGCATTTGTTTGTATATACTTGCAATATATATATATATATATATAATAAATATATATTTGCCTTCGATTCTACAATTCAAATAAAAATGCTAGTTGATATTATTATGTAATATCACCATTTATTAAGAGTTATCATATTTCTTTGTGATAAGATCACTTAGCGATTCTATTGAAAAATTATATTCAGAATATAAGTCGAACGATTAAAAAAGAAGTGATTAAAAATTGAATTCCATAGTTTAATCGAAAAAAAAATCATTATAATTCAATGTATGAAATTTTCTAATAAAATCAAGTGAATCTATAAAATTTTACGCATTAATTTGCATAACTTTTATGAAAATACTCCATTGAGCCAAAAAATATAACTAAAAAATGGAGTAATTAAAATTAAATATTGAAATATTAAAAAATAAAATTAAATGAATAAAAAGAAACCATAAATGTTCCTAAATTAATAATCGTTGAGTTCGATTTGAAAAACAGTTCGTAGAACCATAGAACAAATTTTCGAAATTACGCATATACTTTCATGTTTTGAATCGTGGATTTAAAATTTTGAATCATTATTATAATTATTTTGAAATTTTATAGGTTACTAATATTTTCTGAATTTTTAACAATTTGGATATATTTAATTGAAAAATTATCAAGCACACGCCAAACCAAGAACATGGTGCATCGGTGACTAAGTGGCAAGATGATTGCCACCGAGAATCGAGAATAGTTCCCGTTTAACCACGCTGGCGCACCACGCTTGTTGGTAATATCGCCAAAAAGCGAAAATAAAAGCAAGTTTAGCTCAATAAGTTATCTGGTTTGGTCGATATTGAGTTTCTGGTAGGGGTAAACGTATCCTTCAAAAATCAAAGTGATACTAGCGAATTAGTAATTTTATCATCAAGCCACTCTCTGGCGAAATTTGACTAATTCGCAGAGAATAGCGGAGCGAGCTTAATGATAATGAATTCTCTTAGACCTAAAAATCATTCATAAGTTTGATGTTAATAAGCATATTTTCTAAAAGGAATATTAGAAAAAAGAAATTGATAATAAAGAGATGAAGAGCCAAGGCTGAGGATCAGTTCGATTATATTTGTAAATTCAACTAGTCACCTATTCATTTATTCGTAAAAACAAATAACGTGGGAGCAAAACTTACTTCAGATGGTGATGGTGATTTATCCAGTTATTTGTGCAGTGAATAAAGAAGTTCTGCAATCTGAATTTTGGTGTATCTGAAAATAGGCTTAGGCTTAGATTCTCAAGAATTATAAAGATAGTTTTTTAGACTCACCACCACCTCGCAAATAATTTTATTCAACGGGGAATTTTCGCTCGATTCGAAATTAGCCCCTTCTATTTCTCCGATCTTCTATCTTCTATCTGCTAGTAATCAGATTGACAACATTGCAGTGTGCAATAGCGATTTATTTCCCTATTTTTCATTACTATTTCCTTAAATATAATAATATTTCCCACATTTATGTCCATTTTATAACGATTTTCAAGTAAAATTACCTTATCAGTTATCAGTTTTGATTAATCGATATCTCTATGAAGCAATCGGTTAATTTATAGTTCAATTATAAAGATTTTTGATGGCAATCATCATTTGTTTCTAAATTTAGACCAATTATTATTGTTTATTATTACTTATTAGGCTTACTATTTATTACTATTTGTTACTTTTCATTCAAAATTTCAAAATTGAACTCAAAAATGAAGTGGAAAAAAATTTATTCATTTATAAAATTTGATAAAATTTATAAAATTTTTCGCTTTTGTGATTTGAAAAAAAATTTATATATTTTTTTATAAAAATTTATATATTTATATAATTTATATACGTTTATTTAGAGAATATCAATGGTATTTTTATTTGCCTCGTGTTGATTTATCATTGACTTTTATCAGTAATGAAAGTACTAACGGTATGTTTGTCGTGTTTTATCTTTCTATTGATTGGCCTATCTCAAGCATAAAAATGATTAATTTTGTGATCTTTAAAGTCACAATTTTTTGTTCCATTATCATCATTATTGAATAAAATTAGCCTAAATTTTAGGCTTAACTGACTCAATTAACCATTAGATTCTTATAGGAGTGAGTTAGAGAAAAGATCTCCGACAACCTCAGTGCTCGGATTTCGCTTTCAAGGAAGAGGATATTTATTCCCATTAAGGAAGACCACTCGATTCACTATTCAATTTTATGTTAAATTGCTTTTTTTGATTGTTTATTAATATATTTAATTCTGTAAGTTGATGCTACTTTTTCAAAAAGTAACTCCTGGATTTGTAGGTACAACTGATTGATTTCGCAATCATTTTTCCATCATTTGGAAAGATTCTTTTTCAATGGACGAAGCGAATTTACTTAATGATCAAGAACAGTTAGTTTGTTCGCCTTGTTGGAATTCAAGAAATCTATTATCAGCGGCTTTTTTTGGTAGGAGAAATAATCAGATGACATGCATGGTCCCTTGATTAATTGATGCTTATATCGTTGGTTAGGATGTGCTTTTCGTCGCCAGTCACAGACATTGGAGGAACTAAAGCATATCTTGCTGGATGTTGATCTTTAGAGTGGATAACGAAAACGGTGATGTCTGATTAAGAACTGATAAAGGAAAAGATTTTATAGACCAACTCCAAGATGATAAAGCAATATAGATGGGATTCAGATAATGGAAAGCGGAATGGCATGTTATTTTCAGATATGGCGTTGGATTGGTATCTTGGCCTCCTAGTTAGAAAAAAAACCTATCTTATGGTGAAACCCCTCCCTTCTGGCTAAGACTGAAATCTAGTATAGGATGAATGATTTCCTATACAACAGAGGAAGGTTTGTTGAAACGTAAAAGACTGTGGGCTCTAAATAGAAAAATGTTTTCATTATCCATTATAATATTTCAATAATAACTAATTTTTTAAAATTTTTAGAAATTTCAGGCAGTTATCTTATGGTTCAACCGAACATTTAAATGATTTCCATTGCCACAAAAATCTTGATGAAATACCATCTTCGAATAAACGTGCCAGGAATGTTTTGTGGCTTTCTCTTTTAACTTGTCTTGCATTTATGATTGGTGAAATTGTTGGCGGCCTAATCGCTCAATCTTTAGCTATTATTACGGATGCAGCACATCTGGTATAAATTTCCTAATGAAAATTCTTATCAGATTTCTCAAATTATCATTTATCGTCAAAATCTTGGAAATTTTTAAGCGATATTTAAAAGTGAAACTTTACTTTAAATATGTTGGTTTAAGTTCATTTACCGCGAACTATTCCTTGTTCTAAGAAATTTTTTTCTCAATTTTTCCAAAAAATTTGGTGAAAAACCAAATTATTCGAAAATAAGAAATTGATTTTTCATGATGAGCTCCTTGAAAGCGAAATTCCATTGTGGGTACCTAAAAATGGAAGTTTTTCTATCATATAGCACTGCTCCATAATTGAGGAATAAAGGAATAATTTCGCTAAGATCATAGCTGCTTGACAGGCGTAAAACTATCGCAAAATATGAAATTCAGATAGTGCTCGAGACCTAATAGCTAATTGTACGAGCCAAGCCAGAAGTAGCGAATGAATGCTTTTATAAGGAGGAAAAATTCCCTTATAAATTACCATAAAAAATGAATGAAATGATTTTTAGTTGTAATTATAATTCAATTCATTTTATTTATTTATTTAATCGGCAGATACGAGTAAAATTCATAAAATTTGGTGCATATATTTCAAATTTATAATTATTAAAAAAACTTTAATAATTATAAATTAATTAATAAGCAATTAATAAAATAAGCAAGAAAAATTTTTTTTAGTTGACCGATTTTGCCAGTATTCTTATTTCCTTATTTTCATTGTACCTCGCAACAATGCCAGCATCTCAGCGAATGAGTTTCGGATGGCATCGAGCAGGTGATAATTATTATTTGATAAGAAAACTAGCAAAAAAGCTAATATTCATAATTCTATAAAAAAAAAGCACTAATAATTGATGAATTCCAAAAAAATTTTGATTTTGTTTTTCCAGAAGTTCTTGGTGCATTTATATCAGTCTTTCTCATTTGGATTATAACTGGTGTACTTGTTTATTTAGCTATTGATCGTATAATCACCAACAAATATGATATTAATGCAACTGTTATGGCTATTACCGCCACATTTGGTTTACTTGTAAATATCATGTGAGTATTGCGAGTTTCTGTTCAAAATCATATCAACAATATCTCCTCCTTATCATTTTTCATTTTTTACTTGCCTGATTCCCACTGGTTATTCGTTTCATCGCCAGAGAATCACTAGAGGGATAGAAGAGCAGTATGGCCGTGTGGACGTTAGTGATAAACGTGTATCAATGATCGTTTTCAATTATAAATATTGATTAGCTTGAACTGATAAATGAAAAGCTGTAACCATTTAATGTGATAACACTTAATGTGATAACGATGTAACTCAATATATTTTTAGAATGACAATTATGCTTTATGTTGGTGGCCATTCGCATTCGCATATTAGTGAGAGGTCACCTAGAGAAATGCAGTCGAGCACGTCGCACAAAAAAGTTAATATAAACGTGCGTGCAGCGATGGTGCACGTTATCGGTGATCTTATTCAGAGTATTGGAGTACTCATTGCTGCACTTATCATATTTTTTAATGTTATTCTTAAGTATTTTCAATAGAAATAGAAATTATTTCTATTCAATAAAATTTTTATTGGAAAATTAAATAAGTTTCTTTGATGCTAAATTCAAATTTTCTATGTTAGTTGTATGGCTGCGCGAATTCTTTTATCCGTGAAAACAGCAAAAGTTTTACGAAGAAATTCCAAATAGTGTCACAAAAGAAGGAGAGAGGAAATAAGCTAAGCTTTGTCTGTCACCTTTCATGAGAAGTAGTAAAGTGAAAATTAAAAAATTATTTCTTCCAGGATTTTAAGAAACTTTTTTAGGTTTAGCCTAGTTTAGTAGTAATGTTCGCTGATTCCAGAAAGAATGGTCGATAGTCGATCCAATATGCACTCTCTTATTTTCGATAATAGTGCTATGCACAACAATTTACATAGTACGAGACGCTCTCGTCGTTCTTTTAGAAGGTATTCTTTAATTTGGTAATTATGTCCATAATATTTACTTGCAGATCCAACAAAGAAAATATGAATTTGATGGAAGACTGAAGAGCGGCGGAATTGATAAATATTGTCGATCGAATACATTTGCTTTGATAACCATCGCTTAAAATTTCATTAAATTCATTGATAGTTAATTGATAAATTTTGTAAGATTTAATTTGAACCCATTCCAGGTCGACCATCGAATATAGATTTTCGCTCAGTTTTTGCATCGCTCGAAAATATTGAGGGAGTCCAAAAAGTTCACGACCTTCGAATTTGGTCGTTAACAATGGATAAAATAGCCCTCAGCGTGCATTTGGAAATTATTCCCGGTGATGATGCTCAACGAATACTTAAAGCAACTACATTAATGCTACGTGAACGATATGGAGTTCATGAAAGTACCGTGCAGATCGAAGGCTACAGCCAAGAAGATCAGAATTGTGATCGATGCATCCCACCCGCATAAAAAGCAAATTCTTAACCTGGAAGTGAATAAACTTAATTATTTATAATTTCTGGAAACACTTGCAAAAGTAAAAATATGCAAAATCCTGCAAAATATTATAAAACCATGTGAAAAGGGTAAAAACGAGATAAGATATTTTTCTTTATTTAACGAGGACACTATTTTTTATTTAGGTGACTTCGTCGAACCCCTCAGACCTCTTTCGGAAGAACCATTTCAGGATAAAAGTACAGGGGGACTCTCCGTACCATTCAGATTCATTTCTAATAGAATGTTTAATACTAACCGAAACAAAATGATTATCATATCTTTAGCATTTTAAAATGCAGTTTATGATTTATTGCATGCTTTAATATTTATCCATTCATTTCCAACCTCCGTATTTCCTCTACCGTTTTTCATTACCAAAAAACCTTGTATTTTTATAAATATGAGGAAATCTTTGTTTTATCTCTATAGAAGTACCACAAATCCGAAACTTTTCATAACTTTCGCATTTTAATCGCTCAGACTTTTTTCGGAATGGATAAATTTGGAGTGATTTGGAGGAAATAAATTAAGGATTAAGGATTTGTAGATCGATAATGAATGTAACTATTAAAAAATATTCAATAGAATTCGATAGAATTTTTCATTCGAAGAATTTTTGCTCTTTTTATTTTCAAAAATTTTGTTATGTATCAATAATAAAATAATAATAATAAAACAAAATCAGGATTTAACAAATAAAAATGAAAAACAGTTGAAAAAAAATTTTACCTTTTTTTCGCAAAGATAAAAATCAATTATCAATTATCAATTCTAATTTTAATTAGGTCACATTAGAAGAAATGATTTGCTAATCTTTCAAGGCGAACAAATGCAAATGAATTTAGGCAATAAGCAATATTTTATTTAATATTAATAACTAAAGCTTAAAATAAATATGCTCAAAGAATAGAGGATGTTATCATTAAAATATCACCAAAATTAAGCAAAAAGATTAGCAAATAGTGATGAATTGTGCACATTAAAAACAAAAAATTACTGGTTTGTCAATAAAACCAGTATTTGCAGAAAACCAGAAAATAAACCATTTCAAAATTTTTTGAGAAAGACTTTAACAATTAAAAATTTAAAGAATTCCTACCGGTAATAAAAAATGATTTACAAAGTAAATTTGGATAGTCAAAAGATCTATAATATATAATATATTATAATATAATATATAATAATATAATAAATAATAATATATTAATTACAACATAAAAAATACAACAAATAAAGTTGTCTAATAAAAAAATAAAACAATAACCTTTACAAACCTTATTTATTTATTTATTATTATTACTATTACGTTATTAATATTTTTATTGCTTATAATTATTTTTATTATTGCTTATAATTATTATTACTAATAAAACCAAAAGAACCATTTTTATCACTTATCAGTTACTAATATTATTTATATTATCACTTCAAAGCAACTGCTTCAGCCTCTGTTCCTGGTACAAACAAAACTACTCTACAATTAAAAAACCACTCGACAGTGCTTAGAACCTATCTGCGTTTCTGGCAGCCTTTTCCTACTAGTAGCCAGAAAGCCTAACCAGAAATGGTACCAATCACTTATTTAAACGCTTAGCGTCACTAATTAAGTGACTTTCATTCCGTGACAAATCAACTTTTGTAAATTTTAAAAAAATATTGAAAGTATTTATTATTATTTAATTATATTTTATACTATAATTACAATTACAATTATTTTAATAACAAATTAACGACTGATTTTTCGAGGAAAAATATGAAACCTCGAATTATCGAACGAATCAAAAAAAAGAAATTATCCCAAAATCCATCCTCTCTAAATCAAATTTATTATTAAAAAACACCTACTAGGTGGTATTTATATTTTTATCACACATTCGTAATCTGGCGATTATCAGAATGTCGAGAAATTGTCATATTATACGCTGCGTGCAATTTGTTTAATGCGAGTACCGTTCTCGCCAGTTGTTGAAGATTTCGTCGCTCTAATATATCCAAAGAATTGCATAGTGATGCCTGAAAATATTTGATTTGATATCGTAAAAAAAAAAATCTTTTAGCAGAGTGAATTGTAAATCATTTCCAGCAATTTTTCCATGTGATCCCTTTAAAGGAATCCATGTTCAAAGATAAGATGAACCTGGAGATAGAAAATCTCATATCATATCAAGAAATTAACAATGCGATGTCAACGAACGCTTGCCGTTTATTAATTCACAATCAAGCTGAAGCTATTATGGAAGTCTAAATTTGAATTTGAATTTGAAGTTGTGAGTATGTCTCTAAATTATTTCATATTTTGTGTTAATTGTGTTAATTTTTAATATATTTTTCTTTTATTTATACGAGAAAAAATTATTAAAATAAGGACAAAAATATTTGCACAAAAAAATATGTTTTATAAGAAATAAGCACGAAAATAAATAAATTTAGCGGAAATTACGCCAAATAATTAACAATAACAACAATAATTTTTTTCAACAAAAAATTGCTATAAAAAAAAGAAAAAATAAAATCAGTTAGTTTAACATAACTGGCATATTTATAATCGTAAATCAATGTAATTCTCATTTTATTTGCCATTTTCTAAAAATAATTTGAAAAATTGCACTATGTAATGAAAAATGTGGAGAGCACCAGCGGAATTCAATAAGCAAAACTGAACGCAGAACAACTGAACCAAATTACGAAAAATGAGCAAAAAACTACTGAGATCGACCGTAGGCTATTAGCAAATAGTTAGAGACATTTAAAAAAAAAAATATTTTTTAACGGAATTTATTGAAAATGATTGGCGAGCAAACAGAAAGAAATAATATTCAAATGATAATTGATAACTGATCCTATCAGTAATAAGATTTTTGCTAAAAACCTTTACATAATTATTGCCTCTTTATTTCATTATTACTTCGAGTATTCAAATCTATAAGATTTCAAATAATATCTTAACATCTTATCACTTATGAAAAAAACAACTAATCAACTCTTTCTAGTTTTTCTGTAATAAGTAAATATTTTGCATTTATTGTTCTGCGCATGATATTCATTCTATAAAAATAAAGCGATTCGCTGCACTCATAAATTTTCCATAAAATCAGCAAACTATTTCTAAAATTAATAGAGATGATATGGAAAAATAGATAAGTTTTGCTGAATTAAACCTTTAATGAATAAAAATAGAATAGTTGAAAAGCGAGCGCGAAGATATGACAAATGACAAAAATATGTGTTTTAACAATAAATTTTTCAATAATCAAAAATTAATAAGCGAAATAATTAACGACGAATACAAGCAAACACATAAGCTAATTGGATTATAAAAAAATTATAATAAAAATAAATTAATTTTGAAAAAAAAGGAGAAAAAAATTCTTTAGTTAAATTGAAAAATTTTAAGATTTCTGATCTGAAATCTAAACGAAAACCTAATTAGAAATGAGAATTTTAATAAAAATTAGGTGGAAAAAAAATTTAAGGCGTAAAAATAAGAATTATAGCCTTCAAGAATCAAAAAGGAAACAAGAACGCATAGAGCAAAAATGTGAAGAACACGGTTAGTAGAACGTTTGCAAGTATTTTATCGCTAATATCAGCAGTTCCATGCAACAGCACCTGAAAGCCGACACAATAACGTTTCTTTAATATTCTTTAATACGAAAATAATTTATTATAATAATTCAGATAATCGGAAAAAAGGCCCCATAAGCTTCCATAAGGCATGTTAGTTAGGCCCATTGTATGACGTCACCCAAATTCAAGTATATCAATAAATATTTAAAAAGGACCATTCTAATCACTCAAATCATTCAAATATTATTATCATTAGCATTATCGTTAATAATAACCGAAAAAGTGAAAAACATCAAAAATTAATTAAAAACCAAATTTTGAAAAAAATTTTTCAATAATTTTGAAATCAGCGAAGACTTACTGAATAAATTGTCAAAAACTAAAGAATATTCTTTAAAAAAAAGTCGATTCGAATTTTACATAAATAGAAAACAAAATTTCTAATAAAAAAACTGAGTTATCAAATTATCAAACAAATTTTGTTAAAAATTAATGCGACAACTATTAATAAATAGATAAATTTGATAGTATATAAATTATTTCTAGATTTTTGAGCGATCGCGTTTGGATTTGCGATTTATATCAAAAAGCTATTTCCAGAAAAACCCCGTAGTATCCCTAGAAGAACCCCGTGGTACCCCGCAGAAGAATCCCATAAATGGATAAAATTCGAATGATAAGGAAAATTATTCAAACAATAAGAAAACGAGTGGAAAAATTAAAAAAATAAAACTAAAAGGGCGAAATCGGAAGCAAATATTTTTTCAGCCATATTGTCGTACATATGTCGAAAAAAAATCTGCTATTATCTGATTTATAAATAAAAGAGTAAAAAAAAAATGAAAAAAAAATGAAACACAGAATGACGAAGCCATCTGATATGACACAACAAAAAATACAAATACGAGAACAACGATTTGGCAAATTTCGATTTTATCAAAAAATGATTACAAATCTATTTTCGCAACAACGAATTCAACACTTACAGCCGATAAAAAAAAAGAAAAAACATTCAAATATTTGAAAATATTTATAAATAAATTAGAAAGTGCAAGGCAAATAAATATTATTAACGAAGTATCGAATGACTAAAAGTGATTAGAATTGATAAAATATAATTAGAATTTTTTAAAAAGAATAAAATATATAGCATTCACCATTGCAAAGCCTTTAATGAAATTTGAATTTGAAAAAAACCGGTGAATATTCATTATTGCAAAAATAATTTATATTATTTATTTATTGTTGCAAAAAATAATTATTTTTTATTATTTTTATTATTTTATTTTTATTTATTATTGCAAAAATATTTTTTAAAATGGAACAAACATAAATAAATGGTGCAAAATTTTTCATTATCCAATATATATTATATAAATTTAAAAAATATTGTATTATATCCAATACATATATTATAATTTTAAACATTATATATAATATTCATTATTAAAAAAAAAAGCTTCTAAAGCCTTGTCAATTATATCCTAAAAATTGAGTGTGGAAAGAAAAACACTGTACGTTTGACAATGGCGCACTAGTGTACCAAATCTCAGTTAATGTCAATCATGGTGGATAGCAGTTCTTTCGCGATTCATTCTAAGGTACCATTTTAACCTATCGCACCAATTTCAACAAAAAATTACGATTCATTCATGCCATTATCATAGTTGCTTAAAAAGAAATTACAAATAGCATGCTACCATCACAAAAAAAATAATTTTTTGAAAAATAAATTCCATAATTTTAAATTTTATTTAAAAAAAGGAAAAAAAGTTCTAAAAAACCATCTTATATTTTTCCATTAGAAATTAATTCAATAAAAAGATTCGCTAGTGATGATCTAAGATGAATGATAAGAAATGAAGAAAAATTTTTCCTGAAAATTTCCCTTCATCAAATTGCATCTGAACGACGAAATGGATAAAAAAAATTTTACACCAAAACACTATACCTCTGGTATTCCTAAACGCCGACAAGCATTTAAGAAATTTTCGATATTACGACGACATTTTGGTGAAGAAAGTGACGCCTAAAACAATAAATAATGCAAATTCTTAGAAGCCATTTTGAAAGTCAAATAATTAAATGATGAAAAATTGATTCTGTTAAAATACGATAATTTAAATAAATGGATAAAATAAAAGAAAATGAGGAAAAACGATCAAAAAAAAATATCCCTATTTTATAATCGCTTGCAATACCTCTTGCGATGGTCGAAGAAGCACACTAGAGATGGTTTTGGGGCGTATTTGATTGGCAAAATTGCATAAATGAATGCCATCGGCCAAGGAAATCGCCAATTGTTCACGATCCTTCGGTAATTCTGTATTCAAGCGTTGCTCGATTGCCTGAAGAAATGATCCGTTTCAACTTTACCGGTAGCGATAATATTAAGAAATATATCAGTAAAACTAGATCAAAAATATTATATGCAAAAAAATTAGAAAAAAATGCAATTTTTTTTGCCGTTTTACAGACCCTATGCTATTTGGAACCAAAATTGAAATGAAAACACAGCGCCTCTTCCCAAAATTTTTTTACTATCTTTCAAGTTAAAAGATAAAAGCTTTAATCAGTACATGTTAAATTAAGATACTGAAACATCTAAAGATAATTAGCAAAAGTACTTAGCGCCTATGGAATTACCGAGAATTACTGGTCCAAGTCTAAGTCCTTCTATGAGTTAGGCTACCTTAAGATATACAACTATGAAGAAGGCAAGATGAAACAGCTATCTGACAGTTCTGCCAGGAAATGTTGGCCGTCGTCTTCGTAGACTCGCAAGAATCATGGAGAATCGCTAGACAAAAATCGAAAACAGAACAATAAGGCTTTGAATGTGGAGTTTAAATTCATCGAGCAATAGGCTTACTAGAAATTTTTAAGGTTTCTAAGATTTTTGCCTCTTTTCTGCTTAATAGACATAGTTCGAGGGTCGAAAATGTTCCGCCTGCTTCCATCATAAATCATCTTTCTCGATGAATTTAAATTTAATCTTTCTTGATGGAGCACTCAACATCCGAGACATAACTAGAACCCTTTTAGAGCTAAAGAAGACGAGACAACCTCCATAAAAGAGCAAAATCCTTTGAGAAGTTGATCTTCAAATCTCCTCAGCGTCCTTTAAAATGCATTAACAAAAATTATATTCACTAGAAGGAACGAACGCCATGTGAAGGGAATAAGACATTTCTGCTCCCAGTTCATAAGAAAGGTGAAAAAATGCACTGTGATACCCATCGAGCAATAGGCTTACTAGAAATTTTTAAGGTTTCTAAGATTTTTGCCTCTTTTCTGCTTAATAGACATAGTGTTACAGCACGATGCAGTCTGAATAAGCCAGATTTAGGCCACGGCTACGCTGATTAGCAAATTTTTACTATGCGATCGATTGGACTATAGCCTGCTGATAATCGTTTCAGCAGATGTACAAATAAGTCCAGAGCAATGAATACGTAGATGATATACTAGTAACGAGACATTTACGAGAAATTGCGATAGATTTTATGACGACAGCAGCAGCGAAAATTGGCCTTCAAACCAATATAAATACGGTGAATCTTTTTCGCTTATAAATTGGATAACAACAAATTTATATTTATCAAACGCTAAAGACCAATTATTTCTTCTTCCTTCTCGGATCTCTCGGATCCATCTTCAATACAGAAGGCCAGAGGTGCTTTTTTTCATCTGGCGAGACTTCTCTGGAACTGCCAAGATCAGCCTCAAAATGAAAATTTGTATCTATCTGGTTATAGTACTAATTCTACTATTGGCTGCCGAAAGCCATCAGTGAAAGTCTGCCCTTTGACCATTCTTGCCAAATCTTATATATCTGCCAAATCGACAATTCTCACCTAATTGCGCCCATCTCACTACTTGTTAAACCTCGTGATAGATGGCAGACCAAAACATAACAAAGTTAATTAAAACCTGGATCAAAAGGGTCAAAAGAGATTATGAACGCATAGGTGGCTCAATAATAGGAAGAGAAGAAAAGGAAGAAAAAAGGAGTGATTTCAGTTATTTTCAGGAATGATATCGGGAGGCTTAGAAAATAACATATAAGAAACTAAATATCTTATCCTAATCACAAACCAGCAGTGTACGCTATTAGAAGAAGATGGCTACTGATTGACCTCATAATAAACTCTTTGGATTATAATAATTCCAACATCAATATACACAGTACCTTACGCATAGCTTCAACAACACCAGCTGCTGGAACTTGGCCTGCATTGCTGGAACTTGTATTGTTATTGACACTGGCTATCCGAGTGAACTGATGTCGATTAATTGGTTCACAAGGCTTTTTTGTCTTATTATTCAGACTATTTCGCGCAATACCAATACTGTCACGGGCTTTCAATAGCTTAGTTCCATCTAAATAAATTCATATAATCATCAAATACACGAAAATTTTATACATTAAAAACATTTTGTGCATTGACAAACGCATTTTATTTCTATTTTATTTGAACAATTTAAAAGACAATTTCATCAAAAAAAGAAAAAATTTCCCAATTTGAAAATCCTTTTTGAAAAAATTCCTATTAAGGCAAATTAATTAATGAATTAACCAATAGAAAGACTAGAAGAACCAGTATTTCCAGTCTGAGATAGAGTGCGATTAGTAGCTGACGGTTTCCTAATACCAGAAGCAGCTCGCGTGAAGGAAGACTGCGAAGGTCTAACGACAATGGGAGTTACGTTAGGCTCCTAGAAATTGCATGATTATAAAACTGTATCAAACAATGACAGAGTCTCACAATGAATGAGTAATAAATTTGACACCAGATACAAAAAAAAAACCTTCACAGTTGATGAGAGAGAAACTTTCACTGGGGCCGATCGAGTAACGGTTGTTGCACTACAAACATCTCGTGAACCTGCGATGGTACTCGAAGTCGAACTGATATTACTACTTGTATCACAAGTTAAAGAAGTTTCTAAAAAATAGAACTGTATTTCTTATATTTCATATATTTCAATTCATAAAAGAGAAGTGAAATACAATGGAAAATAAACAAGTTAAACCCAAAATTTAACCATATATTACCTGGTGTATTATTCTCAATCACAGGTGGAAGAATTTTTGTTGTAAATTCACCAACTGAAACCTGCATACCGCGTCGATCATGTCCTCTTAAATTATTATTTTTCATTGGTTCTAGTTCACTCGAAAATTGATCATGCCGACTTGTTGATAATTTATGATTAGTTCCACAACATTTATCACCACATTCAATAGTAGTATCCATATCGAATTCAGAGATATTATTGTTGCTTACATCCATAATACATTCAATAGCGTTCAATTCACTTTTCGATAAATTATCACGGAAATCTACTGATTCTACGATGGTAGCTTTTAAAGCAATATTTGTTTCCAATTGCGGTTCATTTGCACAAACTGTCGTTGAAGTAATCGGAGAAACAATCGCCTGAGGACGAGCAATCGAAGACGATGTAGAATTTGAAATGAAAGTGCTTTTTGAAGCCAATAACGAACGTTCAATAATGTTGCGATCAAACAATTTACGACTAGCCTTTGCTTCCAAATCAGCCTGAAATTATAATCATTAAAATCATTTAAACTATTTCTTATTTTTCTAAAATATATTAGATTCTATGCGAATATTGTCCAACCTGAATGCTCTCAATATTTTTTCACTTTTCATCCATTATATATCATAAAGATTTCTAAATTTGGATATTTTCGATATAATTTAAATGGATATTTTCCAGGATAAGCAATCGTTACCTCTTTTATAGGACCACTCTTGCAACTTGACGCAATTATTGTGCCCATCGACAGAGGTGCTGAACGTTTATGCTGAAGTGCTGTTGGATTACTGCGAATATTCGAATCGTAATTGATCCGTGTTATATGCGATTCATTATTTCCAAATAGAGAACCAGCTGTTGTCGATGACTAAAATACACCCAGAAATTTCGAAATATTTATAGAAATTAGCTAAAATTCGATACCTCATATGAATGTCGATGCTCATCAACAGTTGAAGCATAACCGGAGTCGCTACCACAAAGAGTATTGAACCTCGACGAACGCGACCTTCTATCGCAACGCCGTAGAGATGCTTCCGAGATATTTTCACTATAATTAGCCCTCCAATAGTATTAAAAAATTTATTTTTCAAAAATAAATTTTTATAAAAAATAAATTGATGACTCTTTCAAATAAAAGTCAAATCGAATTATCAATTCATAATTTGAATAAAAAATAGAAAAAAAAATATTGGAAATCAATTAAAAATTCTCAAAATTCTTAAAATTATCGTACGAAAAATTTTACCAAAAAATATACTTAGCAATTCGATTTATCACCAATTTTATCACCAATTTATCACCAATTTTAAATCTTAAAACGAAAGAAATATTACTTACTATTTGCCTCGTCGCAAAGTTGCATTTATTGTTTCCGAACCATTAAAAGGAATATCGGACATTTGCTTTATATTAGATGCATGAAGATTCGCATGAACATGTAACCATTTAAATACATGTTCAATGCCCTAAAATAATGATTAATGAGGAAAGAAGAATTATGAAAAGGAATGAGAGAAAGAATTTACCTTTTGGCAAACTTTCGCTAATGGCGATTTAAGAGGATTTGAATCGAGATTCAAATTAATTAGAGAAAACATAAAGCGAAAATCGAATGGCAATTCTGTTAACTCATTTTCAGACACGTCGAGAACACGTAATTGCAATTGCGATAATTCTGAAAAAAAAACTACTAAAACAAATAGAAGGGGAAAAAAAGAACAAATATATATTTTGCTTAAGCGTTATTCGAAATTTACTAAACTCGCTTCTTCGTATTAATTTCTCATTTTTTAAAAAAAAAACGTTAAGCAAGAAATATGAAAAGCAAATATCGAAAGCGTTCACCTGAAGGCAATTGAGTCAATTGATTATCCCGTAAGTTTAAAACTCGCAAATATTTTAGTAGCGCGAAATCCGCGGGAATACGCTTTAAACGATTACAGCTAACATCCTAAATCTCAAAAAATTTGAATTTGAAATATAAAAAATTATTGGATCGAAATTCGATGAAATCTATCTCATTGATTTTGTTAATCTCAATGTTAACATTTAATAATTTATGAAATTCTATTAAATAAAATAAAATATAAATTACGAAATTAAGAAAAATAAAATAAAACGAACTAATTCATTAAGTGACGCAGAAAGTTGTCGTATTTCGCGCGGTATAGATTCAAGACGATTTCCAGACAACAGTAAAACTTGCAAAGGAATTGAAAACAATTCAATGGGTAACGATGTCAATTGATTACCACTAAAATAAAAATAAAGCAATTTAAATAAACAAAAAAAAAAAAGAATTTTCGAATTTTCGAAATTATTTCTAAAATTTAGCTAAAATTGAATTATTCATTAAATATTTTTTATATTAATTATTTTCGTATTAAAATTAAAATAATAACGAATATTTGCGGTCAAACAAATTTTATAAAGTAAATCTACTGAAAAGATTTATGAGCGAATCGAACAGAAACCAACCATAAATCGAGATATGCTAAAGATTCAAGAAATTGTACAGTTGTAGGCAATGAACGAAGAGATGCATGACGAACTCTTAAAGTTTCCAACGACGATAATTCACAAATGCATGATGGCAACTCGCTAAAGCGATTATCGCTGAGATCTGCAATAACACTGCGGAAATCTCGAGAATCTTGATCCGACCCGTAATTTAACCAATATTAAATTATTAAATTATTTTTAGAGTAACCCCGCTAGAGAATTTTATATTTGTGGCTACGTCTAGCGAAATGTCACACAAGTATGACCTTGAAAGATCGCATATCTCTAAATTATAAATCAACAATGAGGATGTTCGGCACAAATCGGACAATAATAATAATAATCATCATAATTTATCAATTCTTCTAGAACGAATACCTTTTGCACTAAACCAGACGAATAAAAAAAAAAAAAAACGAGAAGGAAAGAAATGGCTTATAAAGTAACTAAAATCCAAGCCCACACTTCTTACTTACTGTAAAGCAAATTTTGAAAAACAGTAGAACTAGTAGAACAGTGAACAGTGAATAGTGAAAGAAGATATAACTTATAGTTCATGGAAAATTTTGATATTCAGCAAAAATAAACAAACAAACCAGCAAAGACGACATCGGATATATCGTATTTAACTAGAAGGCCAACGGGAAACTCCTTCAATTTTCGGCCAGCCAAATTCAAAACACCGCACAGTTCAGCGTCTTCATATATCTTATCAATTGATCGCGACAACAACTATAACAACTATTCGACAAAATGTGCAATTTTTTTACAAAATAAAAATATACAATGAATTTAATTATTCAAATCTTTGAAATTTAAAAAAAAAAATTTTTTTCTCTTTTAACAGATATTCCTTTAAAAGAATAAAATTTAAAAATAAAAGGCGAATTGCAAAAAAAAAAAAGCTTTTGTAAAGCTTTAAAATTTTTAAAATTTATTTTAAACATAAATTGAACAATTGTTGACCGAAAAAAAAAAATCAAAAACCATCACTATTAATTCCAAGAAAATCAACTAAATTTAATTTTTCTTATAAAATATTTAATGAGAAACCAATAATTTATAAAAAGAAATACGAATTTGATTTATTGGAAATAAAATACATATTATAATAAATAAACAAATGGGGTTTTGTAGGGAACCACTTAACAATCCTGAATTTTCTTGGATTTTTTAACAAGTTGGCTCTTATAAGAATCCGAATTCTTACGATTATCTAATAACAACCACTCTGATTTTTTTACGACTTAAACAGAGATGCTAGATCTCGATAGATCTAACATATATATATATATATATAGAAAAGCGGCTCCAACAGTTAGCAGGAATAAGATCAGAGATCTCCAGAAGAACACACCGCTGGACAAGAGCTAAACCCTCAAGTTCGCATACCTCTGGTGGAGGAAGCAATGACGGAGGGTGACCACATTCCACCCACAATAGGTGAAAACGATTTTTTTAATATTTAATTGATGTTAAAAGCTGAAATATATAGATGTTGATTATCATTTTGCTATCAAATATCACATTATCACTATCAAATACAAAGAAAGCTCGGATCGTTAACCTGCTGCTGACTAGAAGTCGATGGAATGGTAGCTGGTGCAATTGGTGTTCGTGTGTTCGGCACAATTGTTGCACCAAAACGACGTTTACGCCACGCTGATGCCGTTTCGATTGCTTCAACTATAAAAATCGAATAAATTTTTTTTACGAAAATTTCGCTCATTTCATTCGATACGCATAAAAAGCAAACATCGTATATATTATATTGTAAATAACACATACAAAAAAATGCTAATATTTTCGCGAGTAAACATTTCTAAAAAAAATCCATTTTTTTTTGATGAGAAAACAAGAAAAAAATACATAGAACGATCCATGAAAATTATAATCCAATATTTACAAAAGAACTATTAAATCATAAAATTTCAATAATATATAATAATAATAATAATAATAATAATAATAATAATAATAATAATAATAATAATGATAATAATGATAATAATAATAATGATAACAATAATAGTGATAATAATGATAATAATAATAATGATAATAATAATAATAATAACAAAAATAATCTGTGCTTTTCCTCCTCTCCTTTTTCGTATTTGGGCTTATTTGGGTTGGTTTCAGCTAACAATTTGAGCCGAAATTTCTAATTTCTAATTTTAAATGAGTAAATTTTAATTCTAAAAAAATTCAACCGTTTAGTAGGAAATATTAAATATTAAAATCACATAAACTGATACGGAATGGACGCAATAAATTTAGGTGATAGTTGATTGAAACAATTTGTAAAAATTAATTTTCAAGGTCAATTTCAATCGCATAATTCGTCGTTGAGTTAAATTTATTCCATAAATTAATTTTCATTTATCTTATAGATATTTTTTGGAATGTCTCTGAAAGCTATCAGTTATCAGAAAATTAATAGAGAATCGATCAGCATTTATTGCATTTATTTCATAAAATAAAAATCGGCAAATTATGGAATAAAAAAATGGATAAATGGATATAAAGAAATTGGAACCGTTGATAACATTCATATGTGCTGATAAAGTTTGATAAATCATGCGATCTGAAAGAAATATTTGCAAATCCCTACAATTTGCTTATTTTAATAAATAATAATTCAAATATTATTCGATATTTGAGGCGATTTTAAATTAAGTAAAATAGCAGCGATGAAAGATTTGCAAATCCGAATAAATTATTAGAGTGTTAATAACGAATCCAATGATACTTCCAAATTTTCAGCGTTTCAATCCAAAAGGCAATTTTTAGAATGACCACTTATTTTGGCAAAATTAATAATAATCAAACAACGAACAATATTTATCAAAATTGCAGAAAAAAAGAAAATTTTTGTCAAAATAAAAAAAAAAACAAGAAAAACCAGTTTAATCAAGGAATAAGTAGAAGTATTGTGTTAAAAAAATTTGTAAATTTAATCAACATTGATAACTGATAATTAATAGTGACAAGAATAACAAATTTCAGATCATATAATTCCCAAAAGACAAGTAGTAAAAGAAGTATTAATGATAACGATAGAAATCATCACATAAAGTCATATTTTTATAAAAATTGTGAAGAGTGAATTCGAAGATGATCAAACGATTCATTGGTGATTAGTGGCTTCATCACTTGGCCAAAACACGAAACGATCTATTATAACTGATTTGAGAAAGAAAAATGGGCTACGAGAAGAAATACCATATTGCCTTCCAATCGTTTAGGTCTGTTCGTCCATTTATCCACCAACTAATTTTCATCTTCCGATAGCATAAACGCATTTCCATTCCACTGATTTCCAGGTTAAAGTCTCTCGTCAAATAATCACTGCAGTCCGTCGTCCATCAAGAGAAGGGAACTGAGAACGTAACTCGTTGCCCGATGAAATTAAAAAGCTAATATTTACACTTCCAAATAGTTTTACTTAACAGCTCTCGCTTTTAACGAGTAACGCTACTTACCGATAAAATAGGCAAATAAGAGTAACGAATCGGTTTTACTTAAAATAAAATTCAATTTCTTAAAATCTATTTTAAATAGAATTTATGGAATAAATTTAATAATTTGATATTTGCAAATTTGTCATTACAAATTCCGAGTTGGAATCGAAAAATTATACGTCCGACTAAATCTCAGTTTTTTCTATTCTAAAGCTAGGAACTATTTAAAAAGTGCTGAGTGCCAAGCCTTTTAGGCTGCCTTGGCTCGCTCGGTCGTTTTTTCTGGCCAAATTCCTAGGCGAATTTTGCTCGACAAAAGTTCAAAGAGCTCGCCAGTATCACGCCAAGTATGACAAAAAGTGAAATATTCCACACGACCTTATAACTGTTCTCGTCTTATGTCACTTATAAATTTTATTACTACTGAATTCATAAATCACTATTTTTCGACAATATTTGCGAATAAATTAAAACATCGAAATAATCGTATAAATCAGAGAATTGATTAGGAGAGATTGATTTGCCTATGGAAATGTATTGAAATGAGAAGAATTGAGACAATCGCCATAAATAAGAGTAAACAAAAATGTGCAAATAAACCAATGAAGACATTTACATAAATTAAAAATTTTATGCTAACTTTTTCAATCGAAAATTCCACTTTTCCATTAAAAAAACAAAAAATGAAAACACGTTGTCACAAGTCCAACAAGATGGACTAAAAGATAGGACGCTGGTCGAGCAAACTGATAAAAATGGACAATGATAAAGTGATAAATAATAATGAAGCTGAAGTAATCGAGTGAATAGGATGGATAATGAAATTAAAACTGGAAGGAAATTAAATTAAAATTTTTGAACACTTTAAATAGAATTGGAAATTGCAGTAAAATAAAACTTATAAAATAAAATATTATTAAATATTATTAGAATTATTAAAATTTAAAATTACTGAAATTAAATATTCTGTTCCAATTTCCATGGAAAATTGCAAAATTTACAAATTTGGAATTTTAAAATAAACAAAATTAATAAAAATTAACGAAGACTACGAAGAGTCATTTTTTGCGGGCTTAGCTGATCGAAAAAACGCAGAACCGTTACAGCCAAAGTAGCAATAATAATTATCAATGACGTGGAACTATTAAAAAAATAAACAGGAAATATCTTACAATAAAAAATAATAATCCAATATAAATATTTTAAATTCTCTTTGCTTAAATCGAAGATAACATATCAATATATCATAAATTTTATTTACTTTATCATAAAATCATTTGCATAGCTGAGAGAATTTTTCTGAGATGAACCAAATCGATTTCAGCAATAACAAACATCTTTAGCAAGCTCATTTCATAAACGGTGGAATACTGAATAACGGTGGCTGTTAAGTTGGTGCAAAACCGGTCTCGGAAAGACACCGCTGTCCAAAGCAAATTCACCTTGCTAAACTTGCCGACTTTCGTCGAAACAAAGTTTGTACATTAAAAAAAAGAAATGAGTACAATCAGTTAAAGGTCATCAATCGTATTGCAATTTGAGAATTCCTCGAATACCTAAATCATAAAAAGCCCGGCTTTCTGCCATATTTCTTCGTATTCCTCGTATCCTTTTGTGCATAGTTTAGCCTAAGGCTAAGTCCTAAACCCTAATCAATAGTTTAGGCCCAGCCAGATGAAAACCACAAAATACCAGCAATTTACTTTAAATTTTATTTTTTCGATAATGGAAGATTAAAAAACAATAAATTGAATCTCCAACTACTGATATATATAAAATTAGCGTAAAAGGTGATATGAAAATAGTTGTTATGACCAAACCGTTCTTTCTGATATGACCACAGTAAAATCATGGAATGCCTCACGACATTTGCGCCAGTCCTTTCCTATTTATTTTAGTTAAATCATGGAGCGTCCCGTGGCAGTTGCGCCGCGTCGGTCCTTCGCTATTTGTTTACTTTAATTACTAATTAATATTTATAATATTCGAATAATTGTTTGCCGATCGCAACATTTGTTAGATAACCATTGGTGGAAGGTCGGAGAATTTGTTGTCGCAAAGTTGTCAGTGGCTTGGCCTGAAATATATATTAAAGTATGTGCCTTTAGATGAGTATAGATTCTATATATCAATATAAATAACCATCTTCCGCTAATATTGTACTGGCTTTCATACTGATATTAGTCCAATGGATTCATATAATAATATCAGTAATATATCAGTAATCTTTGTGTATCACTGATAAAATCACTGATAAAAATTTTGTCTCCATAAAAGACATAATTACAAAACTTAAACAATGTAAACCTACCTTATTTCCTTCCAAAACATATATTTTAAACATATTCATTTAATCGAAAACATACAAAAACACTTTTTGCATTGGTTAAACGCTAATTTACATATTACAATGAATACGAACTAAATTTATAAAATTTATACTTCCTAAATTTTCAAAGAAAAATTTTAGCAAAAAATTTTAATAAATTTTAACTTTAATAAATTTTATAACTAGAAACGCGTTGAATTGAAATTACTTAAATTAACCTATTTGTTACCCATAAATTTGTAAAATAAAATTATTTCTTCCTTTTTAATTAATTTAATTTAATTTAATACTATTTTTTTGCAATCAAATTGAATTCCTATTTGGCTTTTTTTTAAATAAAACAAATTTTGATAAGAATTTTATCATTTGCTTACGACTGATATGAAATATATTATTAATAATAGCAGTTTCTGGCATATTCAGAAACGCCCAACGATGACCTTCTTTTACTTTGGCTTTAGATTATTATCAGAAATTATTCTCTTAATTTATATAATACTACCGAAAAAGACTAAAAAAATTTATCTTTGATTATAGATCATTTTCTTTTCAAATAAATTTTAAATGAGAAATGAGACGATAAATTTTAAAGTTTAGAAAAAATAAAAAAATTCGGAAAATAAATTTGAGGAATAAACGAACAAATTAAAGGACTTAATGGCGCAAACGGGGTCAATCGTGGACTTCCTTCAGGCGATTAGCGGATGAATCCAACTTTCACTGCCATTTGACCGGAGTCGACCTGCTATTCGTTATAAGTGGAATGCGATTACCCGTTTAACTCTCCGACAGCCAATTTTAACAACCAATGAAGTCAGTAAAAATTAAAATTGAGAGAAAAATTTTTTAAGGATTAGCGATGTAAATAAAATTCATTCATTGCAACAATTAATTGCATTTGCAACAAATGATTCTAAGCCAATCGACTTAGGTAATAAAAATAGAAAAACTAACAAAAATGAAGTAATAAAATTTAATATCATTCGAGAATCGTAAAGATATTTGATGATTATTTTATCGTTTTATCATTATATCGAAAAGAGAGCAATACACGATGATTAGTAGATTAGAAATACGAAATAAATAACGAAGCAAATAGTTTAAGTACAAAAATCCTTTTTTCATATTAGTGAAAAAAATTAGGTCATAGGTCAACAAAAATGGTCAAATCAACCTCTTTTTATTTCAAATTTTTAAAAATTCCTGGAATTTTCGGAAAATTTAGCCGCCACAATTCGACAATAAAATCTCACTATGTCGTAAAATTTTAAAAATTCATAGGATAACAATGAGTGACTGACGGAATGGCAAATGACACAAAGGACATTTGAAAATAGAATATAAAAGAAGAAATTGATGGGGAGCAAGGAGGGACGGCGAAAAAAAGAGGGGTGAAATAGTCGGTCATCTGTTGCTTCGTTGCGCATCATTCGGTTACATGCGCGTAATCTGTCAAAAATGAAACCCGAGCGACGCTGGAGAATCCTAGTTTCGAGCGGTTCTCCGGAGGACGAATTCCTTCCTTCTTTCTGAACAACCACCAAAGCAATGTAATCCAGAAATGGCGTTTTTAGAAGAGGAGAAGGAGAAAGAAAGAAAAGATACGAATAAACGATAAGTGTTGCAGATAGGTAAAATCTGAACATCTGGCGCCTCAAGTATTTTTCGCCCGTTCTCGCCTAATTCACTCGAATAAATTTTTCACTTTTCTTCATTCATACTCTTCCTCATTCATGCGTTTCATAGCAATTCATTTCCATTATTAATGAGAAATAAGCTAATGAAACGAAATTCAAAGTCGAAGAAAAATTCAAACATGGAATGTAAAATTGATTCAAATAGAAATGGTTAATAGAAATGCGAAAAATATTGGAATAAAATAAAATATTTCGATTCGTATTGCTGAAAATTAGAAAAAAAAAGACCGTTCAGTGGATTCGAACAAATAAGAAACTCGCGCGAGAAGTCTCTCAAATGTGCAGAAATCCCTAATTTGAATTAATTAAAATATTCTTTAAAAAATATGAAAATTCCATGCAAATTATAGCTGAACGCATGTTTTAATTTAAAAAATCCTATGAAAAAAAGAAATATTCATTCCAAAATATTTCTATACAAAATAATAATCGTTAAAAAGGCAGCCAATTAGATAAAAATTAAAAATTAAAGATGAAATGAAAGTTGGAATTTAACTGAATTAGTTCATATTAAATTAAATAAACGCACACATTTGGCTCGGCGTATTTGGCCCATTTCTTTTGCAGACACAATGCACCATTCTCGATTAGTTTTTTTTAAGACCACTCACCACTGGTGGTTAAACTCGCTCCACTGGCTTGTCGCATTGAGCAATATGTCGGAGATTCGCTTGGCGATAGAAATACAGGTGGATCGCCAGCATCACTCGGATTTTCATACAGGTCTACTCCTGCGGGGAACCGAACCCCAGCATCGACACTCCCAATTCTCGATTAATTACTGAAATAAGAAGTCCATAAACCTAATATGATTATGAATC